AAAGTTTCTTATGGGCGGCGCCATATAAGGTACAACTTTCGTCAATACACGGTTTGGCGCACAGAGTTTTAGAGCGACTATGTTGGCACTTGGCATCCGTTAATCGAGCGTCCTGCATAGCGAGTAAGGGGTACTAATATATTTAGCGGTGAAACTACAACAGGCTTCTAAAAATAACTTTGTAACGCGAGGAAATCATTCTGTACAGTTTCGTCACCTTGCGAAAGATGAAAAAAATAACTTTTTGAATATGAGGAGGCTACTGTAGAGTTTCGTCACTTTGCGAATGATGCAATAAGATTGGATTCGGCATACAAAAATCTACAAAATATCATAAAATGATATCAATTGGTGAAGGCTCCTTGCTTTTATACCACTTTTAGTGAAAAACTCTTAAAAATTTGGTCCATACCCTCCCAGTATTTTTCCTCTTTCAGGGTCTACCCCGGTTGTCTGAAAAAACTGCCATTTTTTAATGACAAAAAAATTCACAACTTTTTTGTTTATGGTCAGATTTTGAAAATTCAAACTGATCTGTAATCGGATTGACAGCCCCTATCCAACAGTTTTGTGACCTCTATAGAAAATACGTTTGTTTAGGCCTACAATACGAAAGCGGAAAAGGCAAGGGAGGTAATAGACAAAAATAATTTTAAAAAGTAAGCCGGAAGTGGCCAGAGCTTGCACTTGTCATCATCACTTATTGTTTTTGCTTTGCATTGACAATCTGATCCGACAACATCTACTCTATTTATGCTCTAATTTATTGTTTTTATATTTAAAATTTTAAAGCATTCATCTTTTTCTTAAATTTTTCATTTTTATTTCGCGTTTCATTCAATTGATACGTGTTGTTTGACTTTGGTGTTTCAACACCTGAAAAAGTTCTCACCGCATTGTCATTTGAATACAAACGTATTTTCATTTTGTGATATTGTTATATTTTAAATCTAGTTTAAATTGTTTTTATATAGATTCTAGATCTAATTATTATTAGTGTTTCCACAATATCTGATTAATTTTAATTGCCTAATTCGTTGCTTACTGTGCTTTGTTAAAGTTGTTTTTTTAACTAACACTCTGTACAGTCAGTGTCAGTGGCACTCTAACTCTAAATAAAAGTTTTTCTTTTAACTTAAGCTTCCTATAATTATAATTCTCAGTAGCATTGAGAAGTAAACTAAACCTCAGCCCAATTTATAGTTGACCTATTGATTAAAGGTGCTACCTAAATTTTATTCTGAATCATTATTTTTCTCAACCTTTTAGATGACTGATGTCAATGATGTTCATGTTTATTGGATGAAGAAGCCTTAAAGCTTGCAGAAAAGGCATTAGATCTACAAGCACAAGAAGTTCCTGTGGGTTGTGTGTTTGTTTATAATGATCAAATTATTGCAACTGGGAGGAACGAGGTAAATGAGACAAAAAATGCTACAAGGCATGCAGAAATAATTGCCATTGAACAAGTCAGAGATTATTGTAAATTGAATGGACTTAATGAACGTGATGTTTTTCTCAGTTCAACACTTTATGTCACAGTTGAACCTTGTGTTATGTGCACTGGAGCTCTAAGACAAATTGGAATTCCTTTTGTTGTGTATGGTTGTGCTAATGAACGTTTTGGAGGTTGTGGATCTATTTTAAATGTTGCCAGTGATGAAGCTATAACAAGCAGCCTGGGACCTCGTTTTTATGTAATTGGTGGTCTGTTAGTTGATAAAGCCATTGACTTACTGAAGACCTTTAACAAAGGGGAAAATCTTAACGCTCCTGATACCAAAAGAAAAAAAAATTACAAATGTATGCAAGGTTATTGCTTTACTCTATTATTTTTCTTTGAGACTGGTAAATGTTGAGCTTTAAGTCTGTCCAGTCTCTGACTTGATTAAATGATTTTTGGCTGCTATTTTACTATCACAATTTTCCTTCTTTAAAGTTTGTTGAACTCAAAAACTGTCTACATTTTTTTAAAAATGTTGTAATGTTTATTTTATTTCAAAATTTCAGTAATTTAATTATACTGAAAAGTCAAAGTCACAGGCTGTTTTCTCAGCTTCACAAGCAAAAGCTGCTCGTCAAGTACCTGAAGTATGTACCTTGCATATTTTCTTTCTAAATTTCATTTTTTTAAAGCTTTCAGTTTATTCAATTTTTGATTGTAATTTATTTCTACTTATTTTTGAGGGAAATATTTTCTGAGTTTAAAATGCAGAACTTTTTTTATAGTGTCACCCATTACTTACAACCATTCAAGAGGAACTATGCTACATCTGAAGTTAGTAAGGTTAAAAGTGAAAGTAGGAAGAGGCTGGTGATTCTGGGAACAGGCTGGAGCAGTTACAGTGTGTTGAAAACAGTCAACAAAAACATTTATGATGTCATTGTCATTAGTCCACGAAATCACTTTCTGTTTACACCTCTTCTTGCAAGTACTACAGTGGGCACACTGGAATTTAGGTTTGTATCTTTTGCTCATTCAAGATTGATTTACATTTTACTTTCTCGTATATAAGAAGTATAGAGAAAGTCTTGTAATCGTGCAATCTTGTCCGTATGTCTGGGTGTCTGTCTGTCTGTGTGTAAACACGATAATTTGAGTACCGTTACAGCTAGGTTGATGAAATTTCATATATAAGTATTTTATCAAAATCGTAGATCCTGATCAACTTTTGAGCGATTTCCGATAACCAGAAGTGGTACTTTTTCTACTTTGAATTTTTCAAAAGCCTATAACTTGAGTACTATTTCAGATAGATAAATGAAATTTTACATGCAAGTAAAAGATCTAATTCTCTACCTTCTGTCAAATTTTAGGTAATTTCCGTTGAACGGAAGTACTAATTTACGCTATTTCCTATTTCTCAAAAAACGCATGTAAATTTACAAAATTATAATATTACTGCGCACTATTATGCACATTTTGTTTTTGCGTTCGCTTGGTGCGCAATTCTTTTTTCTATGAGATTCTATTCTATTTTTAAAAGTTAGTAATTAAAAATCATGCCTATATTCCAAGTTATATAAGAATATTCGAGAAAGTTTATGGGAGATCACTCCCGGTTTATTTTTATTAATCGCGGTTATTGAATAGGAAAATGTCACTTACTAATAAAAATAAAATTTACTTTAAATAAACCGGGGGAGGGGGGGGGGGCTTTAAAATTTATAGAATAGCATTATGTTAAAGTTCTTGATAGTGAAAGTTTAAATTTTGTTTCAAGAAATTGTAGTGTAATAAATAAAATGTGAAGTATCTTTAAAAATTATGTCAACTTTATAAATTATAGCACAGTCTATTTGTTCATTGGGATCGAGGAGCTGTTGTTTAAAGAAGAATAGAAATACATTTCTTTTGCTCTATTAGATATCTAATGTTGGCACTATTTTTTTATATTAAGTTCCTAATTTTCATACCTTTTATCATCCTGCACTCACAATGGATTTATAAACCATGTTTACTTTATAGCATCCTTGCCAGATAACATATTCAGTGAAAATTTATTTTTAAAATACTTATAACTTTTGTTCTTGACAGAATTTTCAACAAATAAAGTGTGATATTGTTATAGCAGTTAAATTTTTTAAAGTGGAATTCTCCAGTTGTATTTATTTTTCAACTTGTAGATCTATTATAGAGCCAGTACGAAACACAGGTTTCAGGGACTCAGCTCACTACCACCTTTCATATGCCACTCACCTTGACACAAAAAAACAGGAAATCAATTGTACAAGTGTATTAAAGCCCAGCCTGCAATATTCCTTACGTTATGATAAGCTTGTCATAGGAGTGGGGGCCTTGACTAACACATTTGGAGTGCCTGGTGTGCAAGAAAATGCATTTTTTCTCAAAGTAATTGTTTTTAAATAAATTCAAACAATTAAAAATTACATTAAAGAGTATTTCTTTTAATAATACTCACAACTGTTTTTATTTTTACTTAAAATATGTGTTGTTTTCTTAATTTCCCAATATTAAAACCCCTCAATTTGCTCTATGTATTATAAATTAATCTAGTTTTATACGAGTTACAAAAAATGTTCACAAAAAAGTTGTAAAATATTTTCTCAGGAAATTGCAGATGCAAGAAGAATAAGAAACAGAATCTTAAACAATTTTGAGCTGTCAGTCCAACCTAATATAGATCCAAAAGAACAGCAGAGGCTGCTGCAAATTGTGATAGTTGGAGGAGGCCCAACAGGTGTTGAATTTGGTGCTGAATTGTATGACTTTGTAGAACAGGTACTAAAATCTGTTTAACAAAGACTGTTTTTTTACTTTATTAAATTTTTTAGTGGCATATGCTTGTAAAGCATATTGACCATAATAGCACAACTTAGCACAACATGATTTTAGATTTAACTAGCCAACTTGTGTTAATCATTCAAAATGGGGGGGGGGGGGGGGGGGACATGTAATACCCCTCATACACAATGCATTTTTTAAATTAAAATTTACCAATCCTTGGGATATTATTCCTCTCTATAGGAAAATATACATAAAATAACTCTTCCTTCTACATATTCTAGTTTACAAACACAGTCAACTTAACACTTATAAATATAAATAAATGTCAAAATCCTTTTGCAAGCTAGGTGAAACACATTTCATTTCCTATCCAACATTTATTCTTTAACTCATCAGGATTTGGTCAGACTTTATAGACAACAATCTAAGCAAGTCAGAGTTACTCTTGTAGAGTCCAATAAAATCCTGTCTTCATTTGATACAAGACTGCAAGCCTATGCAGAGAGGAAAATGAAACAGAGGAAAGGTTTCAACATTTTGCAGACAACTGTTATAGGTTAATTTTGCTTGGTTAAATTTTCTTTGACTTATGACATTAAATTAAACATATTTCCTCTAACTCTAAAAATAATTATCAGTACGAATATTCTGCCTGTATTGCTATGTCAGAAAGTTGAGAAAGGATCAGCCATATTATATTAGGCATTCAGGCTATTAATCTTAGCAAATAATCAGTTTTAGTATTTCTGACCTGCATTTATAGAAGTAACCAAAATATTTATCAGCATTTGTTTTATTTATTATTTTCAGAAGTTAAACCTGATAGTGTAAAACTTAAGGATGGCACTTCGATTCCTTGTGCACTTGTTGTATGGAGCACAGGCCTTGCACCACGTGACTTTACAAAAACACTTAACCTCACCAAAAATAAAAGTGGCCAGGTAATTTATAGAGATATAAGGCAAACCAGTTTTTGTAATGCAACTAAAATTGCTAACATTGTCACTTATTTTTTCATTAGTTGTGTAATTTTTCAGATTATAACAGACAGATACCTCAGGGTTATAGGGGAGTCCGCTAAAAATATTTTTGCAATAGGAGATTGTGCAGATATTGAAGAAATGTCATTACCTTGTACTGCACAGGTAAAATACTAGTTAGTTACTTTTTATCCAAACGCATTCTATTTTGTGATATAGATATTATGCTTTTACTATTTTTGCTAACTTGATAATGGTAAGTGTAATAGTTCCATAAAAATAACTATGCCGTTAATGGTGTTGGCTTAAGGTTATTTTTACCACAAAATTTACATTTTTCTCAGGTTGCTGAAAGGAAAGGACGCTATTTAAGCAAGTTTCTGAACTCAGACTGTAATGAAGAAAAAGTGGGCCCATTCGAATTTAAAAGTTTGGGAATGTTGGCATATATAGGGCATTTTCAAGGTGTCAGTGATACACCCCAATTAAAAATTAAAGGTAAATTTGAATTTATAGTTCACTAAAATAATGTATGTCGGTAAGCCAGGTTCTTTAAAAAAATGTGTATGATACATTTTTTTTGTGTATGAATTAGGTGTGGCATCTTGGTTTTTATGGCGTTCTGCTTACCTTACCCGCTTAGGAAGTTGGAGGCTCCGGATGCAAGTCCCATTAGACTGGACTAAGACTATTTTATTTGGCAGGGATATTTCTCGGATTGAATAATGACACCTATTTTTGTTTTATACACTCAGATTTTTATAGTTATATGACAAGGATTAAAGCTTTCCCCCTCTTCATGTAGATCTATAAATTAAATTATATTTATTATACTCACATAACAGAACAAAAAGTAGACTAAAATTAAATTATAGGAAAATATTTTTTTTTAAATTCTTCAAGTTTCAACATTAACACCACTCACGGGTCACGAATATGGTAGTTAATTCATTAAAAAAAATAATTGATTATTGCATATCCTGATAGATTATTACCTTATAAATCATTTGGTGATGTTATTCTTTATATAAAATAATGTTTTGAACATGAAAATATGTCAAGAAGGGGGGTAGGGGTATTTGTTTTTTATTAAAAGTTGACCGAAATACGCTAATTTGTTGAGTTAATGGTTTCGTTTTACATTTGCTGTTTTTCTCAAAATAAATTTTTATTAAGCATACCTGTTGTTATGCTTCATTTTTTTTCAAAATTCGTTTGTTGGATTGTTTTGAAAATGTGTATGTGTGTTTACTACAAATGGTGAATGTATGTAATGATGTTGCAGTTATAGGTAAATTATACCACTGGACTGAGTTATGAGTTGTATAAGTGGACAACATAACAAAAAGTGTGTCGTATCAAATGCGGCCTACAGTACCATCACATGGAAAGGTACAGAGAAAAATCTATGCCTTAACCATCCAAACTTTAAACGTCACTACATAAAATACATGTGATGTATGGGCACCAAAATGCAGAAGATGAGATGTGAAACCATTGTGGTTATTAAATAATTTGTGGCAAGAGGTTGCTCATATTTTAGAACCTAGACCCCCAAACACACCTGGATTATGAGAAATAGGTGAACTAATTTAAAACAAGGTAATTAAAAAGTCCAGTGACAATTTTTCCTTATGTTATCTAAAAATAGCTCTGTCGTAGCGTAAATCAAGAGCAGGGTTAGTAAAACCATTCAGGGTTCATGCTCAAAAGTTCAAATAAAATTCCAGGAGTTTTCCAGGACTTTTCAAGGAGTTTAAAAAAAATTCAAGGAGATTTTAAAAACAAAAAAGAAACCCAATTTGTACATTTTTTAAAAAAAAAAGCGTACTTAATAATACATTTAATTAGCTAAGCCAATGCACAAATTTAATTTCAGTAAAAGTAAAACAATATATTAATTACATATTAGGATAGAGGCTATCAATCTGTCTACAGTCCAGTTTGAATTTTCAAAATCTGACCATAAACAAAAAAGTTATGATTTTTTTTTTTGTCATTAAAAAAATAGCAGTTTTTTCAGACAACCGGGATAGACCCTGAAAGAGGATAGATACTGGGAGGGTATGGACCAAATTTTAAAGAGTTTTTCACTATATAAAAGAGGTATAAATGCAAGCAGACTTCACCAATTAATATCATTTCGTGATATTTTATTGGTTTTTAGATGCCAAATCTAATGATGCTAGGCTAGTCGACCAACCCGATGAACGTGTCAGACGAATATTATGTAATTTCAGAGACAAAAGTCTGGCAAGATTTCTTGATCTATGCCCAAGGATTAGTAAAGTAACATCAACTCCACAAAGTGAAGGTGGAAGAGAGGTGGGGTATGAAACCACCACGAGCTGCTCGGGTACCGTACGGGTGTTACACAACATCAAAGGCGACAATTGTCGGCTTGTCGCGTCACGGAGTAGTGGGGGCGGGTTGAGGCTATGGATGTTACGTTGGGTGTTACATACCGTGTAGGATGGTCAGTGTCTTCCCCCACCCACCCCAGCCCATTTTGGTCGATTTGGCAAGCTAGTATTAAGCGTATTAATAATTTTTTTGGTCAACCGAAAAAAAGAGCCACTGGAAAAATTTAATTTATTTTCTATGTATACAATAATGAAACGTTACGCGAATCAGCATTGTTTGATCGGGTCGCAGCTATCCGGGTTAATTTCTAAAGAAGATTAATTCTGACGATTAGTCCTGAGCCGTAAATACTACTACAACTTTTTTTTTTGCCGTTTCAATAGTTGAAGACAAAGTTATGAAACATGCCTGTCTACTTTAAAAATACAATAGCCGACAAGTCAAACACGGGAACACATGTAGGCCTATCTATCTTTAGAAATTGTTTATAGTATTATCCAATCGGGTCAATCGCCTAGCGTCACGTGACCACACACTCGGCTGTGCCACACGATGTGTAGATCACGGCAGTGCGATTCAGTCGGACGACGGCCGATGCGTTTATTTTTATTTTCGTCCCATTTAAAAACTACTATTCAATTATTGGCGGAACAAAATCAAATAATTTCGGTCTGGTTTTGCGCCGCGGGTTAATGAAATTTCATGAAAATTTTTAAAATTTCAGTAGAATTCCAGGAGGTTTTTATATTTTTTTAAATTCCAGGAGAATTCCAGGAGGTTTTTATTTTTACGTCTTTTAAGATTCCAGGAGTTTTCCAGGACCTCCTGGAATTTCAGGAGGTCGCACGAACCCTGACCATTGGTTAAAATACATGTTTTATTTACAATAGAGTTACATGACTAAAAACCATTGCGCGCCTAGCTACTGAACGTGATGACGCAGCCATTGAACGTGATGGCGCAGCTATTAAACGTGATGACGCGTGTGGTTTGGTTGGATAAAAATGCCTACTAATTCGGTCCAAATTTTAATTAATTCAAAAAATTTTTTGTGACCGAACGAAAGGATATTTTTGAAAACTTTCTTCGGCAATATTGTTCTAAATTATGGCAGGAATCGATTGGTACATGTTTCAAGTCGCTAAGTGGTCTGGTTGCCGAGATATGGGCCAACAACTGCATTTTTTTCGAGGTTTTTTGGCTTTTCGGGGAAATCCATGAAAGAAACCCGGAATTTTTATGGCATATGTTCATCCTCGTAACTTGCTTAATATAATTGCTTTTGGAACTAGTCCTCGCTATTGCTTCGTTGAGGAGGAGATACGACTTAAAGCTGCGGACACACATTTATTCATTCATCCATCCATCCAGAAATGACGGGTTAATAAACGCAATTCTCCAGAATGGAAATTGCGCTAAAAATTAATAAATATAGCTTGTCTTAGCCTATCTTGATAAATTTAAAGTAGTTCAACAGTAAAACAACTTATTCTAGGCAAAGTAGATTCATAAGCAGTTGACCCCTTAAGGCACTTTTAAGTATAAATAAATGACTTACAAATTCAGTCATTTTTCCCCCTTTATTCAAGAATGTACTAGGACATTACAGTTTTAATTAATATAAACTGGAAGCAACAGTAGTTTTAGCTACTGTAGCTGGCGTCACTTTGATTCTTAATTCTGGAGGTAGTTTATGGTAAATGCAGTCCCTAATATATTTGGCTGGATACTTGTTGGAGAAATGAACTAAAACAATATGGCCGACATCTTTAAAGAGGTCAGCATGTTGGCTTAATTCAGAAAGATGAGTGTGACCTCTGTCTCTAGCCTTCTGTACCATATTTTTACCTGTATAAAATAAATATTTTATGTACTACATTATACAACCTATATACAAATCCTAGCATTGAATTGTGATATAAAAATATGTGAACCAATTATGTCCTGATAATAAAATTACTAAAAGTTTTGTTTTGTACATATGTATGTTAATTTTATTTAAACAAGCTACTTGCCCCTCTCTTCGTCCAGAAAAGTTGTTTCAGTAATGAGTATTTTAACATTGAGAAGGTCTGGTGTTGGAGGGTTGGTAAAGATGTCAAATGTTGTATCTCCTGTTAAAAGAACACAAACAATAAAACATGTACACACATTTTGGGGAATAAATAATTACACTTTTATTAAATTGGCACTCCTAATGTATGTTTTTCCATTTTTGAAACAATTTTCACCCCTTAATAAAGATAAGCAGACATAATTTCCAATGAATAAAAATTAATTTTGCACCACACTAGCTGTATGATTATTGTGACAAGTTGATTTCCAACACCCATGAGTTCACATATCAAGTGTAACCTGGTTTTAAATTCTTGGTGAATAGTTTACATATTTTTTTATTTCTTTAATTTTAATTATACAGATATGTCAACACTATATAATATAAATATATCTTAATAAAAAAAATAATTTTTGTTGAATACTTGTTAATGCTTTAAAATCCTGCTAAGAACGTGAAACCCAAAACCTACCACAGTATGCAATTTCTGGTGTTATGACAATATCATGGATAACTTTCCCTTCTCTATGTAAAGCTGCCACTTCAAATCCTTGCATCCCTTTGTACTCTTGTTTCAGCTTTTTCTCTTCCCTGTAAAGAATGTAACCTTGGCTTGGGATGCGATGAATAGTTGGGAAAGCTTTCACAAAATATCTGCTATTAAGCTGTAACAATTTTTCAAAGATTTTAGAAACTTTAGCTATAAAAATAATCAACAAAGGCAAAATTATAACTATGTAGATTTTAAACAAATTTTATTTGATATGTAGACCTAAAACTATACAAAAATTAGTACCTATAACTATAAGTAAAACAAAGTATAATGGGTGCTGATTTTTTAAATAATGAAAGAAAAGCTGCACTACATCAATTCTGAACTATGGCAGTGGACTTACCCTGACCACATCTTCTTGGATAATTGGCAGGATATTGACATGCTCAAAAGTTTCCATGGCCTGTGCCATTTCAAAATGACTTTTAACAACTGTGGTTAGAGATTCAACCAAGATAGGAGGTACATAATATTTTGCTGGTTTCATTCCAAGGAGACTTCTCTTTGACAAGTGGCCAATCACTGCTCCAATGTGATCTACATGTCCATGCCTAATTTTTTTAAAAATAAAGTAGTATTAGAACAAGGAAAACATTTTTTAATCCAAGGGGTATACAAATACAATGCTAAACAAAAATCTTTAGATGCAGTAAATGTTAATGTGAGGGCTAAAATGTTTAGACGTTTCTAAAGGGTTAGTTTTTACTTCAAATAAATTCCTTTAAGTTTATTGTGAATTGACACCTCAATGATGGGTTACACCTGGAGTAAAACAAAATTGGCACAGAACAGAGGACTCTAGAGATCTTTAGTTGACAGGAATGTAACTGGCAGTGAATTAATTGTGAATAGACATTAGCATTTCATTTATAGTTTACTCTAAGTTTATCTGCTTTGTTGTTTGTTCTTGGATGGACAAACACTATGGAAGCAGGCTGAAATTGCAGTCAACTGCTTATATGGTTGACAGGCTGACCATAATACTTAATTGTGTTGGAGAAAATCCCATCCAACATTACAATTATAAACAAAGAAGAATTTGCTCTTTTTCATAATTGCTGTAGGAATTAAACATTTATTAAAAAAATATTTGAAGGAAATAAAAATGAGTACATTTTAAAAAAATGCAATTAGCCATTGAACAGACTTAAACCTCTAAAAAGGGGTGAGGATCTTTTTAATTATAGAGTTTTGGCTAGCTTAACAAGGGTAGGGTATATAATTATAAAGGGTACAAAAGCAGGATTTCTTTTAGACAATTTTCTACAGAGAGGTGGGCGACAAAGGTTTAGATCTATATATATTTTTTATTTAAATGTTATATATTTTTCTAATTTGTCTGTGTACAGTTGGAGGATTAGGTCAGTACTAAATAGTGGTGATTTAAAGTTATGGTTAGTTAAAATATAGTTCCAAATAATAATGTGTGAATTATTATTATAATAAAATATCAATATGATTAATTTCTAGGAGCGGTTGTCTGGCACCTCACAAAATTGTCATAAATTTTAACAGTGCTGTGAACGTAAAGCAAAAAGTTAAATTGTCTTACGTGATAAAAACATTCGCAGATTTTATACTCTCTGGTACAGCAATCCCCATATCAAATGCAAGTTGAACATCATCAGATTTTATTACAATGCAACTCTCCATACCAGAAACACTCCATCCAAAGATACTGTACTGTCCAATGGTCAACCATCCTTCAGATTCATTGACATTGTGAAATATTTCCTTAGAAGCTTTCTCCTGTTCATCAGTCATAGTTTTAGTAGCAGTAAAATTGGATGTATGCCGAGTTGGAGATGAAATAGTCTGAGGTTGATGCAGGTTATTTATTAATTTTATATTGTGTAGGCCTCCAAGTAATTTCTTACTAGTGAACTGTTTACTGTGTTTAGTTGGTGAAGACAATGAACCAACATTTCTTTTTATCAAAGGTCTCACAACAATTTCCTTTTTGAATGACTTGTTCACTTGTTTAATATTTATGAAAAAACAAGTTCTGAGCAATGTTTGTGAATTCATGCCTAGCCTTGACTGTTCTGTTTGAACTCAAAAACTAATCTAGATCTAATCTAGATCTGGTAAAAAACTAACATAAGATTGATAATAAAATAGTTGACAATACAATATTAATATACTATATAGACTAATATATATAGAGTAGTATAGATAGTTAGTATAATATAGGAGGCCTACTCCTCATAGAAATCTAGAATAAAGAATAGATCTACTGATCTAGATTCTAGAATCCCTAACTCAGTCACTAACTGCAATAATAATATTACGAATTAAGATCTTACGAATTATAGATCTAGAAGCTAGCCTAGTTCAATAAATATTAAATTTTAAATAAGTCTCACTCATCGTAGCATGAATGGACAGCGCAGCATAGACTAGAGTTGTGTCCTTGGTAGGCTGTTCACTAGACTAGGTGTAACTAGATATTAGATCTTGATCTAGTTGGGCCTGATTAAGTCGATTTTATATCATCTAGATCTAGATTTGTGTGCAATGTTTTTGATACTTAAGTCAACATAGTTAGTATAGTAGGTCAATATCGTGCTGTATTGACTACACATGTCAAATAAAGCGGTGATTGTTTCTTCACGTTTCGACTTCATTTGCCCTGATGTGAACTAGATCTAGATTCTAGGTCAAACAGAGCAAAGGTTACGACCTATTTTTACATTGATCGGCCCATCATGGGCCAAGTAACCAAATGTGTTAGCATAATAAATTAAGTGTTGACCAACGTTTTCTGCTCTTAATAAATGGGTGCTTTTAAGTCAGCAGTCCTTGTGCATTGAAAGTTAATAAATTGCATGACATTTCGATCTGCTGGCACACCTAATGAGCCCACGCAACGCGTCGAATATAGGCCTAGTTCTACAGTTACAGGGGAGTCAACCTGGGCAATCAATGGTAATGCCCGGTAAAAAGCTAGATCAAGATTTCAGGATCTATTCGTGTGTACAAAATTTGAATCAAATCTGTGTTGTTTCATCATCATGTATAAAGTAATAAATAGATGTATGCCTAAGTCTAAACAACATCAACGGCGTCAAACTCCAATGGGGGGGGGGGGGGGGGGGGGGGGGGAAGATCCGGACTTTAGTCACGAGGGGGTTGAACACAATGGAGGCGAGCGAGTTGACGAGATTCCGTCCCCAATGTTGTTGACATGGAATAAAAACGTGCTTTTTAGATTTAGACCGTAAAAAAAAATAAAAAATAAAAACTTAAGCCTAAAATTAATTTAGAAATTTTATATTTTTAGAATAAATGCTATAAAAGTTGCAAATCCAGAGAACTTGAAAATAATTTGTTGAGTTTAAGGCTACATTTCTATTTATTTTCATCAAGCCTAAGTTATAACCGGATGTTTCACTTTCGTAAGACAAATATTGATTGGTTGTACAGTAACTTAGTGATCGATAACTATTTGTTTACAAAACTTTGCAGATCAAGTTTTTAAATAATAATGCAAATTTAAAACCCCATGACCTAGTTTTCTATTTTTAGTTTACAATGTGTACAATAAAATCAATGGCGGCCTATCCAATAGCAGGATGCCATTGTTTATGTCGCCATTACACGTGAAAACCAAATTGTTTTTGCTTTTTTTTAATTTTTATTTAGTTACCGAAAATATTATAAACATCAAATACATCCAATCTTTAGTAAAGTCCGAAAAAAACCAGATAGACAGGATTTTATAACCATATTAATTGTAACTACGCTGTGCATGATTTTTAAATGAATTTATACACCTCTCAAATACCTTTGAGAGTTTTCTCGCTCGTGTCCATTGAGAATTGGAATTCAGAAAGTGTGTCGACACACTTTTGCTTTTTAAAAAGTAATGTTGGATGGAAGTTTTGGTGTAATTTTTTTCCGTTTGTAATTTATTTTGTAAATTGCCATAATAACTGTACTGCATGATCAATAATCAATGTTGACAGAAAAGAAATCGCATTTTAGGCATATTTTTAAAAGTGTAAATTTTAGAGATAGTAGCAGTGTCTTCCAGACTTTTTCCTCCGGAGGGGGGGGGGGGGGGCGTACTAAATTTTCGGACTATATAAATTCCATTTTGTTGTTTGGGGGAGGGGGGCGGTATAAGTCTTTCTTCGGGGGGGGGGGGGGGGGGGAGGCTAAGCCCCTTTACCCCTACCCCCCTCCCCGAAGAGGAGTGACGTCTTTTTAGAGGATTGGGGGATGGGGGTTGGTTTTTTTAGAGGTGGGTAGATAAAAAGAGTTTTTAAAGACGTGAAGTTGTATTGCCGGGTGCGCCTTTTATAAGTTGTTTAGGCTATATTTGACATCTTTTTAGACTTATAGGGCCCCTACAGGACCTACCAGCAGAGTTTCTTCCAGAGCCCCCCCTCCCCCGAAGTGGCCCCGAAGAAAGTCTACCGCCCCCCCCCCCCCCCAACGAAATGAAATTTATATAGAATATATATACTTTTAATAGTCCCCCCCCCCCTCGGAGAAAAAAGTCTGGAAAAAACACTGCCTACCAGAAGCGTAGCGACCCATTTCGGGGCAGACTATCAATTTTTTGCCCCGCCCTCTATAACTCTTCCGAGTTTCTTCCGGGCATCTCTTCGGGTGGGGTGGGGGGGGGGGCAAAGAAAGTCTACTGTTGTGGGCTGTCAATTGTTGGATACTGTAACGGGCTGTGTAGGATACTGTTGTGGGCTGTAAATTTTTGGATACTGTAACGGGCTGTGTTGGATACTGTAGAAAGTTTTCAATTTTGGGATCGTGTAATAAGCTATCCAGTATGTTTTGTGGGATTAAAACAGTAAGCAATTTTAGGTAATGCTAATAGTCTACCAAGCAAGTTTCAGGATACTGTAGTATGCTGCCAAGCATGTTATAGACTATTGTAGCACTCTTTTAACTGTAACAGTTTAGTGATGGGTAGCAGTCTTTCTTCTCCAGGGGAGGGGGGACACTGCCAAAAGTATATATTTTCTATAAAAATTCCATTTTGTTCGGGGGCGGTAGGCTTTCTTCGGGGGGGGGGGGGGGGGCTCTGCTTCCCCAAGAGATGCCTGGAAGAATCTCTGGGTAGTAGCAGTATGGCTTTTCCCCCCAGTATGTCATGCTAGTTTCTCTTAATGCTATATATATATATATATATATATATATATATATATATACCCTACCTCAGTTTATTTTTTCCATCACCTTTTAGCTTATTATATTTGAAGAACCACTGCGCCCTTAGTCAGAAGTAACTCTTTTTTAAAGTATTATCACACTTCCAACAAATCTAAATAGATCTAGGTTTCGTTGGTAAGAATACATAAAACCTAGTCCTAGTATTGTTAGTAAAACATAACGTTACGAGCTGACCAGCGACGTGATATACGCTGCCATCTAGTTGTTTTATTTTCTGCTTATCGGCAATTCATAATTTGTGAATTCCCCCCCCCCCCCCCCCCAGTGAAAGCAGCCGTTAACAAAGAAAAGATCAATCATCAATTGTTACCTCCCCTTCGTTTCAAATCGTTAAATACTAAATTTTCTGCCCCTAATAGCCGTCACTAACCCGGCTCTACAATTGTAAACATTCGGGGTGAACCAGTCTTTTTTTCTGACAGGAAAGGGGCTGTAGGAAAAAAAAACTATAGTTTTTTTCTAGACATATAGAAACAAACCATTCTGAAAGTAGCACATTTATTTTCATTTTCTGTCTTCACAGCAAAGTTCAATAAATTCACCTCTGAACTGCTTCACTAAAACATTTCCAGGTATTTTCATACATGTATAGAAAAACTACACATTTCTATAACAAACATCACAGTGGTAAATATGGTATGCATATTTGTAAACAAAGGTCAAAACAGTGAAAGTGGTAGGCTTTTGCTTTGTTATTTTAAAGCTTTGCTACATGTTCACTAAATGGGCTAAATACAAAAAGTAAAACACAAAATTAGACAGAGATGGTTTTAGTACTTTCTAAGACCAGATGAGTTGATAGGGCAGATGAAGTAGAAATCATGTGTTTTTTTCTGACTCAGCATATTGTGTGGACAGAGCTATGTTTACTTTTTTAACGTAAGTCATGTACCCACCTAATTTGGGTAAATTCAGTCAACTATTATAATATTAATGTCCTTTTGATAGACGATAATGTGAATAAATACATTACAAAGTGCCTTGTGTTTTAGTTAAAAAATAAAATAATATAGATATGTATTTAACACGAAGGTGTAAGGGCCTGACGCAGGTAAAAGAGACATTAAAGCATCAGGTAAACTGCGCCAGTATACTACAATGGAAACACATAAGAAATGACTAACCTGGATCACCATGGGAAACCATCTCATGTTAGAAAATTAATTCAGTGATGCTCAAGGATTCCAATTCAATTTAAAAATCAATACAACTTATAGAAAAATATAACAGTGTAAAAGTGTAGGTTTGTATTTTTGCTACATCTTCAATATCACAGTAGCACTAAAAATAAATCAGCAGTGTTTACATTCTTATTTGCACCTAATAAATACTGTACACACACCCAACAAACACAGGCTGAATGAACAAATAAATCAAGAAACTGTAACCAGCCTATAAAAAATCAAATTCACATAGGCTGTGCCAGTGCCAGCCAAAGACATGGATTGTTGGATGATAATACAAGACAAAAAAGGGAAATAATTACAATGATTTTATATAAAAAAAAAAACAACAATGTTCAGGGTTTTCATCTCTATTATAATATATTCCAGGGACATACTAATTGCTAGTACTTTTTAAATTTAAAAAAAAAAAACAACACAATTTCCCACAATTAATCTGGAATTTTAGTAAGTTGCCTGACACTTTACATTTGATTGATCTCATACTGTTAATTACATATCAAATATAGTCTAGCACATAAATAGTGTGTAGATTGTTCTTTCTATGGCTAAATTAAACAATATGGACTTGGGACTATATGTTAAGAACATTTAAAACTAAATACTCTAGATAAATACAGCAAGGAGTTTAGATCAATATTAATAATTTTAAGAAAAATGGGACAAAACTTGAGTACATTAGACAATGAGCATTCCAGTAGAAGCAGTAGATATATAAGACAGTCCACTCACACAAAAGCCCAGATTGATGGCAATGAGAAAACAAAACCAAGCAATTTCTCCACTTATCTGTTACATTTACCTAACGGTTAAAATAAATAAATACAAACAATAGCTGTAGGCTATATATGCCAGTATGGGTTATGAGCTTTAAAGTAAATTATTTTAAAAATATATACAGGCTATTAAAATTTTTATAACATCTGGTGAAAGAATATATTTTTCCCCTTGAAAAATTAGGCAATAATTTAAGATTTGTGTCTAAGAAATTGTAAGTATGAAGTTACTTGTTCAAATTTAATAACAAGATCATTATAAGGTTTAATTTTCAACAATTTAAAATGAATAAAAATAAAAAAACAGCCCACAAACAGAGGGCAATTCAGTATTTTAAAGTTTGCCAGACAGCTTTCAATATTAATTTTAATCTTTCCCTAAAAGTGTAGTTACTTCAGTGAATGTGGTCAAAACAATTTTCTTTGAAACTAAAATTGGCTAGAGAAAACTTTAAGAGAAGTTGTTGGATCAGGAAATGATTTAATTAAAAAAAAAGAAAAATGCACCCTGCATTCTGCTAAAGAGGAAGGCACTAAAATGTAATCCACAATAGATCAACCTGTGGAAAAGTTTGTATCTGATATTAACTTCTTACAGCAAAGGTTTGGAGAATAACTACCTCATTTGCTAATTTAAAGAAAGTACAAGTAAAACAGGTTAAGAATGTCCTAACAATGGAGAGTAAAATGAGAAATATATCAATAAAGAAATGAGAACAATAGATAATAAATCCAATGTAAAAAAAACATAGATGATAAAACCACATTTAAAAAAAAACCCACAGAAAGTAAGATAAAATGATCACAAACACAAAGTATAGTATAACTAAACACCAATGATAAAAATCAATGTAAAGCACATACAGATAATGAAACACAAAACATTGAAAGTGGAGATGACCCTGTATTCTTATCAGTCAAACTGTATTTCAATTCTCTAGACAAACGCAGCCTGTACTTAGTCCTTAAATAAAATAACATTACATCCCTCGACAGCTACAAGGTTCATAGTGATCCACACAAGTTGGTGGAACCTTACAATTCTTCACAGACACTGCAGAGCAAATAATCAAAACTATGTGCTGTGTCCAGGTGATTGTATGAAAAGTTCAGATATATCCAAACGTATATCTTATTACTAAGACCAATCACTGTGTACATCTTGTCTTAACATGTTAAAATGTAAGTCATGTATAATAAACACAACTAGCCTTACTACGAAAGCAAGTAAAATAAATAATTATATTTTTCAAAATAAAGAACATTTTAATATCGGAAATATTTCGGTTTAACTGGTCAGTGGCATAAACATGCTACGTATAAATATATTTGAAATGTCACTTCAAGAAAAAAAATTGCCCTATTTTAAAAAGATTATTAAAAAAAGTAAACTTTTAAAAGAAATAAGTAACATTATCAAATAAGAGAACAGAATGGACGGTTCAAAAATTGAGATATAATCATTAAGTCATTGTAAAATTAATTTATGTAATAGATGTATAAAAAAATGTTTCAATTATATTCCGAACTCCGAGATTCGTGAGCTAGCTTCCAAGCAGGATCTGAACCAGCAGCATTCTCAACTGCAAGAGTAACAATAGCTGCCTCTGCTTTGGTGCCAAGTTTCTTGGCTTGTAACTGAGAAGTTGATGAGACCACACGATGCACCAACACTGAGTGGTTGCTGGTCAGGGAAGCTGAGCTAACTGGGATTGGAGGGAGTACAGGCGCTTGTTTGGGCCCCATCGTCAGCTCATCTTTTGATATCTGAAGGAAGGGAGAGATATCTGGAGACTCTGAGCCACTGCTTCTGCTTGAGTTCAGAAGCTGGCCCTGTTGAATGACTTTAGCGTGACCAGAACGGCGCAGACGACCTGTACCAAAAACATTTTTATCTTTTGGCGGGGGAACAGGAATGTAATGTTGAGGAATGTGAGACTTTTTGATTGCATGTGATGCCTCAGCATGAGGGTGACCGGGTTGGGTTGGGGGGCCTTGTGCCCCTGTATGAGAAGTTCCCAATGCAGTAGCTTCAGGGTGCTCAGTCCTAGCTTTTTGCTTCAGTTTATGTAGCTCTGTAGTGAGATACGCAATGTTGTTTGATTTTGCTTCAAGCTCAGCTCGCAGTGCACTGACAACCTGTGCCTGCTGTCGACTTTCATCCAGCCTTTTCTTTTGTTTGGCTCTGGCTTCTGCTTCCAAACGTTCCACTTTACTGATCTGCTCAGACAATTTTTTTTCCAACTTGCTAATTTCTTCTTGGGATGTGTCTATTTCCTTTTGGACATGATCTTCAAAATCCCCTAAAAGAAAAAGATAATTAAAAATATGTCTAAAATTATGCAGAATTGATTAACTTATTTACAATATTACTTTGAATAAGAAGTAATAAACAAATAAAAATGATCATAAACCTTCACATTTAACAAATGACATTAGATATTCAAAGTAACAATACTAAAAGCTTGAGTCTTATTTATTAATTTAACTTAAACAAGTGACTGATTGCTAACCAGGTTTGTTAACTGTTAATCCCTGCATTGTCAATTGAAATGTCAAATCTGGGGATAAAGAAGAAGTAAAGAACTAGTAATTAATCTTTTAAATATTTAAATCTATCATTTAAACAAAATATACAAAAAAACAAATCAATGAAAACGATTCTTATAATTTTTTTCTAACTAGTTAAGAATAGATTTCTCCTTTGAAAATTGATATATACTAACCTGAGCATTTTTTTTGCAGTCCATTGATTTCTTCATGCAAAGCTTTCAGCATGGTCGAGTGCTCTTGCTGCATAAAGAGTATTGAGCTTTCTAAATTCTGTTTTTTAAACATTGCCTCTGTATTCATTTTTGTGTTTTTTGAAAGTTATACAGCTCTGAAATGTTGAAGGATGGTGATTATATAACTGCAACAAAATAACTGTATCAACAGGGCTGGATATAAATACACAAGTATGTATGATGGGCTACTTAATAAACAAATGGGAAAAAAACACCTCATTTTTGGTGGCTACACTTAATGTGAGATATGGCCCAAACAACAAACTCAGTTTACATCAGCAGTTCTTTTAACATTCAATGTTTATCTACCACTACTGTCTACCAATGTCTACCTTGGCTTAAGTCTCTGGCTGTTGACTTTCCCCTTCTAAAAATATCTACTTATATCTACATACTTGTAAGCTTACAATCCAACATGAGCCTTTCTATTCTATTGGACAGTGCTGGTCATGGTAAAGGAATCAACCTGGAAGCAGTACTCGGCTGGTAACTCACTAAGATTGTAAAAGTCTGGCTTTGAGGAAGTCAGTTTAAAAAATGAGGAGTTTCCAGCATTGATGAGACATATAATAATAAGTTTCATAAAACTATGAAACTTCTGAATTAATATTGTCATTATTTGATTTGACATTGGGCGAAGCAAAAATAAATTTAAAAAAAATTCTTTCTTTAGTTTGGTTTGCCTATGTCGGACTTATTATCTACTAGACTTAACATGAGGGATGGCAAGGTAAAATGTTTGAGTATTTGACTGCTAAACCAAAAGTCACTAAATCCACCCAGCTATAAAAGAAAGTAATGACAGTAGTTGGGCATAGTGCTGAAATCACCCAGCTCTAAAAGAAAGTAATGACAGTAGTTGGGCATAGTGCTGACTGCACTAGTGACTATCCTTCATAAGATGCAAAGTCACTGGAACAGGTAAATTCTGCACAAACATAATAAATTGTAACTTCATCCACATTTTAACTTGATTTACTAGTATAGTGAGATGAAAACTAGTATTCATATAGAAAGGAGTAAAAGGCCAAAATATTTAAATAATGAATGTTGTGCCAGTTGTGGTATTATTAATAATAGGCTACTGTGATTATATTTATACAGGCCTATATTTATATTAATGGTCTGCTTTAGTTCTGTTAGTTATAATGATTAAAGAAATTATTTAAGAACTAAACCTAAATTGAGAGATATGCAAGACAAAAAACAATAAACATTAATCTACAATATTTCTTTTTGAGTTTTGGGCTTTGGGGGGAAAAAAAGCTTAACACACCAAACAGTACGCTTATTTAAACGCAGTATCTTCCTAAATAAGGGAAATCTACCTTGTATTTAAATGAAGCATACAATAATGAATTCTTTGTAACTAAAACCAATCATTTATTTTAAAGACTCATTTGAGAATGTTGCAAAAGCTGATGCATGACAATTGACAGTCCCTAACAACATCTCGGCGGCCATAGTTATTTGCCCTCACAACAAGAATGTAGAAATGTAATCTAGTTGCATGCTGGGTCATCCGAAACAAACGTTTAAAAAATACAATTTTTACATAAAGACAAATTTTATTGTAATAGTTTTAAAAATGTAGACCTATAACTAAATGTTTAAATTTAAAAATTAATGCATATAATTTTTTTATTGTTGTTGATTAGCCTAAATTAAGACAAGATAATTTCCGAAAATGTTACTATAAATAAAAAAGCTGTTGATTGTTGCCGTTATCTATTTTTAATTTAGGCCAAGATTTAGTTTTTAAACGATATATTATTATATTGCGTAAAAATTTAATATGATGCATTATGTAAAACACAAAGATCCCAGTCTAGACCTATATTTTAATAATATGTTAAAAATAAACTCACACTAATTATAAAATGGGATATGGATATTCTATTATTTTCAATAATTTAGTAATTTGGTCACCTGGCTGATCTTAGGTTTACCCTGATTTAGCCTAATAATCGAAAAAGCTTTCTGGACATAATCGCGCGAACTATAATTGTATACTAACAGTAACGACACATCACATTCTCAGTCATGTTATTAGAATATTAGTTATTACTTTAACTACCAGATTATCATAATTATTAATTAAAATAGTTCATTAACATTTTAAGAATGCTCTTAACTTGTCTTTAACAAAGGGGGTTAGGGTGTAAACAAAGAATTTCTGGCTTTAGTGTCAGCTATAGTTTAAATCATAAATTTATATTTATTTTGTTTTCACTTCTTACTTCTTTGATCTTTCTAATTCTAATTATTAATTAATAAATTATTCTAAGAGTGAAGACTTAGTGGTAGTATTTCTTAGTCTTGTCTTAGTCACTCTTAGTCCTTAGAGTCTTAGTAGACAGTCTTAGTACTAGTTAGTAGTAGACTAGATATCTAGATAAGTGAAAACAAAATAAATAAAAAAAGTATCCGGGGCGTGATGACTGCCAACATTCTCATTGTCCATTGACATTCATCATTCTGTTGATGAATATCTTTTTTTCATTAGTCTCCTTGGGGCTCTTTAAAAAAAAAAAATTAGGCCCTAATTGGCAAATTGCCGACTAATTACTAATTAGCCTATCACAAATTAATTATATAAATATATTAAAATTTGTCAGTATAGAATAGATCTACTTTTCTACTAATAACTAGATCTAGTATATAAGTCTAGTATATACTATATACTGAAAAAATAGTATATTAGGCCTATACTTTATACTATATTTATATAGGGCCTACTAGGCCTAGAATCTATAACTATATTAAATTAATATATACCAACTAGGCTATTTCTACTATAGCCCTTCCCCTTATTATTATATTATAGGCCCATAAAAGTATAGGCATAGGCCTAATAATAATTATTTATCCAAAGTGTAAGGACATCATTATTCACACACAATTTCTAGAATTGTCCACTCAAGCTTTAAATAGCTTCATTGAACACTGAAAAAAAACTTTTATTTGGATAAGTTGATGCTACTAAAGTATGTGTAGTATTATCATTTAATCACTTTTATTTTTATTCACAGTACAACACTTAAAATGGTAAAGTCACTGAAGAAAAAAGAGAAGCCAAAGGTGTAGTAAATACAAATAACCTTTGTTGTCACAATAGTATTAAGTCAATGCCTATTAGCTTTATTATAGTAGGGATCTGATGTGTTTACCAAATGATTAGATTGAGTATAGTCTATAGCAAAGTAACTTTGTTGAACAATAAAGTTGTAATCATTAATCTGTTGTGATCAAGCTTTGACATGAAATATTTCCTGCTTCTTTAATTATCTACATATGCCTAGGGATTCTAATATTTGTATTTTAAAAATTATTTCAGGTTGATGAGAAGCAGACTAAAATTTCTTTTTTCTTTGAGGTTGGTTTTTTATGCTTAAAACAAGCAAAAAATGTTTTGACAATTGTCCTTTTAAAAATCATAGCTATTAATGAAAATGTTTTCAATATTTAATTTTTTTTCTTCTTAGAATAAACCTGCTAAGACTTGTGACAGTAAGCTGTTTACAAATGTTTCTTCATTGCCTGAAAAAAAACCAACTAAAGCATCATTGTCAAATAAATGTGCAGATAGACTAAATCAAGGAGGCTCTCACGGAAAACATTCTGTAAAAAGCCACGTAGAGGATAATAGTTTGGTCATTAATATTGATGATGAAGACAGTGATCTCAATTCAGAAAACTCTAATGATATCAAAGATAAAATGTTATTGACTGAGGATACCCATGCTTCTAATCACTCATCTACTTTGCAAAGCTCATCTAATAAAAGCATTACATCAATCACAGCAACAGAAAAAATTGACATTCTCAGTGGAGAATCTTTTCAAACTCCAACAAAAGCTAATCCATTAAAAGCAAGGCCATATTCTGAAGTTGAAAGTAGTCCAGATATTATTTGTGAAACTCCAGATGCAGAAAGAGTTATGAAAGATGCTTCATTTAGAAACAAAAAAAAGAATGCTTACACCAGAAGTTTTCTTAGTTCCCCTGATTTGGTTAGTGTCCAACCAGGGCTAAAGCCAGCTCATTTAAGAACTCTTGTGGGGAAAAAGTGTAGGAAAATTCAAGGCGCTGTTAGTATCAGCTTTAACAAAGTCAGCCCTAACAAAACAAATGAACCACTCTCTAGTTGTTGTAATGAAACTTACAACACGACAACAAACGCATGTGTTGCTGAAGCTGTTAGTAATAATAGTAGCACATTTCAAACTGGCGCAATTTGTGACACTGGTAAACAGAACAATTTTAGCATTCCAGAAACTCAGGTGCTTTTTGATGACAGTTTTACTGCTTCACAGAGTTTCATAGGGGTAGAAATGGTTGGGGATAAACAGAAACAAGAAAGTAATTTTCAGCCGTTTAAGTTTGAATGTAATACAGATGAGTCTGATACTTCTAAAACCAAACCAGTGGAGAACAAAGATGGGGGTAGATTCAAGTCAAAGCTGATAAATGCTTTGGAAAGTGCAGATTCCAAGGAAGAGGAAATTGCTGAAAGTAAATGGTTGAATGAAAGGTTGCTAAAACATTTTACCAATGATATGTTCAGTTGTGCTAGCAAAAGTGAGGAAACAAATAAAAAGTCAGATACAACACCAGTAAAAATTTACCCTGGCTCAAAGTTAACTATCAAAAGACAAGCAAAGACTGGATTGTCTCCATGCTCGAAGCGCCTACCATTAGCCGGCGTTAACAATGTCTTGAATTCGCCTGAGACCTCAGCAGCTGATCTTGTACATAAAGCCAAGAAATCTTTATACCTTGATGGGGACAAAGTCGTGTCAGAAACATTTGAAACTAAAGACAAATGTAGCAAATTCACTAAACAAAGAGCCTATGCATTTGGTTATAAAGAAAAAAATGACTCGACCAGTAGTGCAAAATCTGTCACACTTGCCGATGATGACTTGTTAGCTGATTTATTGTGCAAGCTGGACCCGCCTGTTCAGCAGTCTGAGACAAAAACTACAAAACCCATACCAGTCAACCACAGGTCAAACAGGACTGCTGATTTAGAAAACAGACCCAAACCTATATTCAACAAAAAAATGCTTTCTGGTAATGCTAGTAAACCCATGCAATGTGAAGATGAAATGTTGAATAAATTATTTGGAAAAGAAATAGATGAAGAAATTATAGAGAATGAAGATTTTGATTTCACAACAAAAGACAATCCATCTTTACCTCAGGAAAATAGCTTAACAACCAGAGATAAAATGTCTGTTGGTGATGGGAATTCTGGTGAACCTATTGTGATTGAAGACTCAGAGGAGGTATTAGAGATTATTGAAGACTTGACAGACAGTCGATTAACAGAAGTATTGTCTTCTTCCATGTGTATCAAAATGTCTGACAGCTTTGGAGAAGAACTGAACAAGGAGATGCATAAGGAGTAAGTCCCATTTTATTAAATTTATTTATTAATTTAAATTACTTTTATCTCAACATTTTTATCAATATTGTATAGACTGTTGTTTTTTTTTTAATAGACTATTTAGTATAACTTCGCATATTTTCTTCTTTCATAAGTAATAAAAATAATGAGTCAACTCAAAGCTAAAGTTTTCTTCAATGTTAAAACGTTTTTTTTAGATCTGTGAAGGAATTCAAGTTCATTGATTTGTGGCAAAGATTCACAATTTTAGATGTTGTTTGGAATGGGTACTTTATTTTTTTAACCTTGAACATTTAATTTAACTAGGTGTGAAATTATTAGTGTCTGATGTTATAATTATCTATTCATCTTTTAATCATTTAATCCAGTTAGTGGTAATTATTGCATACTTGTTACAGTAACAGTGAGCTTCATTTGATACTACTGTCTTCAAAAAATGGGCAACAATCCAAATGCATTTTGAAAGGTTTTTGGTAAGTCCACCAAAAGAAGTGCTCATTTTCTTTATAATTTTTAAGCCTTGGAATTATACAAATACTTTTAACCTTAAATGAAAGGAATTTATTCTATTTATTATTTTAGGGTAAATGAAATACTTTTTTTTAGTAGCTTTTGTAATTATCTAAATAAATGACTTACATTTTTTTAAAATTGCCCCCCTTTGAAAATCCCCCTTCAGGTTGGATGTACATGTAACTAAAACAGATATTGTGAACATCATAGGAGAATTTAACAGTGGCACTTGTGTTATTGATGATAAAAATGGCCTCCTTATTGTAAATCCTGATGTTCTCTTATCTGGTACACTTGTCGTATCATCTGTATTTTGTGCAAGGAAGTAAGTTTTTTAATTCCTCTTGTGTTCGATATTTTGTCTTTATATGTTTTGTCGTTGAATCAATTAGTTAATTGGAATTTCTGTCTCTGCTCAAAGGTAAAAAAGCAGATAATTATTTTCTCAAATCAGCAAAACAAGAGTTTAAGTAGAATGTAAGGTGGGTGAAGTTTAACATGAATTTATTCATTTTCTTAGTTTGTGATAAAAAGTATTTCATGTTATTCAGATCAAACTTTTTTTTTCCAGATCTGTTTTAAATGAGAAATTTAAGGTCAGTATTTACAATTTTTTTACTGCACTTTAAATATTATTTTTTTCATCTCTTTCTGAATACTTATATTTTTTAAAAAATTCTTCCATACCTAGGGGATTGACAAGGGAAACATACAGATGCTCTATGGCAGTATTATACATAGCCTTTTTCAAAGAATAATGAAAGAGAGAATAAGAACTGATGTAGATGTCCTTGAACTTGCTAAATCTCTACTGATGTCAAACAAATTTTTGCATGAAATGTAAGTCAGAAAATGTGTTGGTTATTGGCTTAATATCCCTTTGATTTTCAGCCCATATGTGCATGCTTGTTTTTTAGATGCCATGCAACTAACAGTGGTGGTTGCTTTATATTTACATATACTCACTTAGGGTGTAGTAAAGTGTTGGGCTGCTAGCTCTCGAGTTCGTAATTTGGTTTGGACTTTTGGACTAGACCAGGAACTGAACTTCAGACATTTGCATTTGTAGTCATGTGCTCAACCACCAAACCACACCATTCCATAAAAAGGGTTTAAGCTACAATTGTTAAATTTAAAAGATCGTGAAATAAATAGACTATATTTTTTTAAATATATTTTCTGGCTTAACATAAGGTTTAGTGATAACTTTTTTCTCATTAGGTATGACAACAATGTTGAAGAAAAGGTAGTTCTAGAAGAAATCAAGAACTACATTCCTTCCATTTTTGATTGGTTGAAGAAACACACTCTGTGGTCTGGGGGAAAGAAGTAAGAAAATGTTTGTGTATTTACATTTTTAAAAATTGTCTTTAATATACATGGTATTAGAATTTTTCTCTTTTCATTTTGGTTCTAGCCTCATCATGTGTCTTTTTTGTGTGCATAATTTGTTTTTAAAATATAGTTGGCCGGACACAGGAGTTGTTTTTTATTTATGGCTAGGGAATATAAAACAGAATTAGATTATCACTCACTTAATAGACCAAAAAGTGTACTTTATAACAATAAATTCATATACAATGACTGTAAATTGTAACCATCTTAAATTGCTACTCAAAATCATCATTATAACATAATCCATGTTTTTAAAAAATATAGGTCAGATGTTATTGTTACAGAAATCCATGACATAGAAGAAAATATATGGTCGCCCAGGTAGTTTTGTAACATGTAAAAAAAAAATTAAATTATGAATATATTAGATGAAGTAATTTTTCTTTTCTTTATATATTATATTAAGAAAGTTAAGAGATAAGCCTACATTTTTTAATAATTATTTTTCTTTTGTTTAAACCCCTCAACAACAATTTACGTTCCAGGTTTGGAATTAAAGGCAAAATTGACATGACAGTGAAAGTAAAGGTGAAATTTAAAATTTGGTTTTCTGTTGTTAATATCTTCATTGATTTTAAATTTCAGATTATTGTGAAAATATTATGTGTTGTTATTTTAAAAAATAGATGAACTTATTTTTATTCTATTCAAAATAGCTCAAAAAGTCAAGTTTTAAAAATGAACAAGTTAAAGTTGTCCCCCTTGAACTGAAAACTGGAAAAGCCAGCTTTTCAGCTGAACACAAAGGACAGGTAAAATAATATCAATTGATCTGGACTAGTAAAAATTAGCTGCAAAATAAAAAAGCAAACAATATGTATGGTATACGAATTTTGCTTTGACTAGGTTTTAATATTTTGAATCAGGTGACTCTTTATTCGATGATGTACTCGGACCGCAGAGAAGACCCAGAGGAAGGATTATTGCTGTATCTCAAAACTGGACAGATGGAAAGTGTTCCCGCAAAACCAGAAAGTAAAAGTGGTGGGTTTCTTGTTTTCATTTCAAACAATAACTTAATCCATTCAGATAAATGTAAACATTAATTAATGATTTTTTAATTCTTAAATATATTTATTTCTTATTAATGAAACAGCAGAGCTTTAGAACATAAAAATAAAAAAGCCTGACCACAGTGATTTAATGTTGTTAGAAAACATGTAAAAAGTTTCCCCCAGTAGTCTCCTCTGTAAAATTACATGACATTCTCATTTTCAAATGTATCATGGTTGTCAAAAGAATGTTTTTTAAAGCACATTAAGGTGTAATTTAGAGAGCGACATGGTTGAATGGTAGAGCTTTTAGCTACTACCTGAAAGTAATGAGGCTGTAGTCTGTAGGATGTCCCTGAGTTCACTTAACTGTGAGGGGTACCTGAATCATGTTAGAGAAACAAAGGCGGCACGGAATAGTGCTTAACACCCAATCCATCATATGCTGCGGTCATTGAAATAGATGAACTCTACTTCGTCTGTTCTATGTGTCTTGAGCGCAAATAGAAGTTGATAATGGTGTAAGTTTGCATTCGAGAACTGTCTAAAATCCCATTCATTTTATATTTGGATTCATTAATTTAATAAGTCTGTATATAAATATAATTTGTTTTTCTCAAAAAATATAAAGATTGTGCCTTTTACAGGTCTTATTCAGTTAAGAAACCAGATGGTGCATTACCTTACTCAACAAGTACAGCAGACTAACTCTCCAGAAAATGAGGTTCAGTTTAGTCTTGGTCAGATGCCAGAACCAATCAACAGACAAAAAGTCTGTTGTAATTGTCCTCACTTACTCAACTGCAGCATTTACCAGAGGTAAAAAGTTTTTATCTAAAAAAAATATCTAAAATACCTTTTTTTTTTAATCTAGGGGATTTACGCCAAGTGAAAGTGAAGAAAGATTGGGGGAAAAAAATTGTTTATCTAAGAAGTCTGAAACCAGAATAAAAATATTACATAGCTAGATTTTTATAATTGTATACTGTCAGCTATCAATTAATCTAAATAATTGTTTAAAATTTAAACAATATTGAAGATAATTGCATTCCATCAAAAGATTATTTAGTTACCAAGAATGTGTTTTTGTAACTTTTTAGTTTGTAACTCATTAGGTCAGTGGAGAGCCGAAGCTTACCTGTTGATCATGCTATGACCACACTTGTCCCAGAAACCTTAGCCCACCTCACACAAGAAGACCTGGACTACTTCAAATTTTGGATCCTGTGTTTAGACATGGAGTCAACCAAGAAAGATCTTAGAAAAATTTGGTCAATGTCAAGCATTGAAAGGTTCAGTAACCTACACATGTTTCTAATCACATGAAATGTTACAATTCTTTTATTCTTAGTTTGAATAAATACACACATTTATTTATCTAAGTTGTAGGTTTTAATGTTTACTTTTGGGTCATGATCTGTAATATTTTTTCCAACAGAGAAAAGGCAGGAGACTGTTTGAGCAATTTAATTATCTCACATTCTGAGCTGGGTATTGCAGAGTCACAAAGTTTTAATGAAGGGAAAGGATGTTCTCTTACTTTCAAGAGAGATAATAGGTACTGTACAGTGTTACATTTATTGAATGTAACTGTAAATATAGATAGTCTTTTCACAAAATGGTTTATATTTGGAGATTATTTTATAATAAAATCTTTTGACATTCTGCTCAAGTAGTATACAGTTACTAAATGCTACGGTGGATGTTAGTGTACTTTTGAAGATTTAATACAAAAATGACTTGGCAAAAATAAGTAGAAAATCGCCTAGGTTCTTACCTCATTGAAGTGCAATAAAGCTGAACATAACAGGCACAACTGACTACTCCCTATTAATACATAACATTTGAATGGAAGGAAATAAAAACAATATCTGTTTCTTCTTGCTTGGATGATCTTTTGCATAATCATTGGTGGACAGTGTTTGCGGTAATAAGCCATAGTGTAGCCTGTTGTATTTTCAACTTACCAATGTTTTTAAGACAAAACAAAACATGGGTCTTAATAAAACATTCCATAACAAAAAAATCTGTTATGAAGTTTGTGATTTCTGATTTTTTTATTCTCTCATTGTTAAATTTTCTCATGTAGTGCCTCAGGTCCACCACTCAATACAGTAGGTTTGAATACAGGAGAGATGGTTGTGATAAGCTCTGAAGATGGTCGGTTCATTGCTCTGGCTACTGGGTTCATTCGCAAGGTGTCCCAGTGTCTAGTGGAAGTTATTGTCGACAGGTAAAAATGTATACAATTGAAACAAGCCTTTCAAATTCTAAGCCCTTGTTTCGAAAGAATGGACTGATCCCAAAATTTTATATAATCTTTATTTATTGCTAAGTGTCTTTTTGAAAAAAAAAATTAAAAACATGACTGTTTTGTAAAAAAATAAATAATTTAATTTAGATAAACTAGCCCATTGTTGAGTTTGCTAGAAAACATCTTGGTTAACTGCTATATGGCACTTATTTATGGTAAAAAAAAACATGGTTATAGTCACATATATCTATTAAAAGCGGTGGTTCCATCAATTGAATAGATATTAGATACACCATTCCTTGTTAAAATTGTATTTGTGGGTTTTTTTTAGGGACTACCTGCATGACACAACCTCTTTTGCTGATATAAAATTTAGACTGGATAGAAATGACAGTTTCAGTGCCGCAGAATATTTGTATACAAACCTTTCTAAACTCATGGAACCTTCACCCAGATCGTAAGTCATATTTTTTTTTTTTTTTTCAAAGTAGTATTTCATCTATTTTTTTAAATCTTTAGTTCTCTTTATCAGTTTTGTGTGTGGTGTTTACTTTTGGAAAAAAATCATTTTTCTAGTGTTGGCATGCAATGTAATCAGGTTTTTTTTTTTTTCGTTTTTGTTTAGAAAAAGATTAAGAGAGCTAATTATTATGAAGAGCAAACCTCAATTTGATCTCAAAATTTCAAAGTCTTGGGTTGAGAAAGGTAAGTGTTGACATTTTAACCATTGATTTCTTGTTACATTTATTTTTTAACTGAATAAACTGTTTACTTAACTGTCATGAAAATTATATTTTCTGTAGTCAAGCCAGTTTTCAAGAAATTAAACAAACCACAGAAGGCTGCCATATTGAAAGTACTGATGGCCAAAGATTACATTTTAATTAAAGGTTTTCCTGGAACAGGTTAGAGAACATGTTTTAACCAGTAGCATTGACCTCAATTTTGTTTTCAGGTAAAATTTTAAAAACATTTTTTATTTCTGTAGGTGTTTTTTTTTTTTTTTTTGTTCCATACATAAGTAAGTTAAAAAAAAGAAGTTCCATACATGACATTATAAAATTTTTGTACAGGAAAAACCTCAACAATTGTTGCTTTGGTAAAAATTTTACAACAACTTGGGCTCTCTGTACTCCTCACCAGCTACACACATTCCGCTGTAGATAACATTTTAATGAAGTTGAAAGAGGTAAGACATTTCATGTGCTGTCTCATCTTACAGATTTTTATCAGTAATTTAAACAAAACGAAAAAAGTGTACTTTCAATATTTTTTTTAACAGTACTGATTATTTAATACTTATTTTATTGTGTTCAAGGTAGTACTTGTTGCTTATTTTTAGGATGATGTACGATTTTTGAGATTGGGACGAAGAGGCCGCATCCATCCTTCTATATTACCTCACTGTGCAGAAATTTTAACATCCGACCCTAGTATCAACTCTGTGCAGAAGTTAAAAGAATTTTATGATTCATTTGTGAGCTAATTTTTTGTTTAATTTATAAAACACTTAATTTTTAAAATAATTTATCTAATTTTATAAGGATAAAATAAAATTTGGATTGTTAATTTTACAAATATCATTGTTGAATTCTTTTTAAAAAAATTATTTTTGGATCAGTAGAACATGATTCCATCTGCCCCTCTCACCCACAGGATATAGTCGCAACAAGTTGTTTGGGCATTAATCACGCAATCTTCAAGCAAAGAAGTTTTGATGTTTGTATAGTGGACGAGGCATCTCAGGTGCTTCAGCCTGCTTGTCTTGGTCCACTCTACCACTGTAAGAAGTTTGTTTTGGTGGGAGATCCCAAACAGTTGCCACCTGTAGTAAAGAGTAAAGATGCAAGGTTCTTATCTGCATTCAATCATTATAATATATCATTTAAAACAGACTGTTTACTGATTTTCAATAGACTGTTTATATAATATTTAACTTAACATACAAAGATGTTAAATTATTTTTATCTTCACTGCATTTAGTCATAATATATCGTTTCATACAGATTCTTTACTGATTTCCAAATAGCCTATTCATAACAAACTTAGTTTTAATTAATTCAACATTATCAAACTCTTATTTTCAGTCATTGTGGTAAATCATTTTTCAGAGAAAGCTTTCTGATACAACACAGCTTTAATTTTCTAAAAATCGTGACACAAAATATTAGCTCAATTAAATGATGTATAAATCATTGTAAACACATAATCTATTTCTTTGATTTGTCTACAGACAACTGGGCATGGATGAGAGCATGTTTGCCAGACTGGATGGCTGTGGGGCCACATACAACTTATGCCTACAATACAGAATGAACAGGTGGGGTTTTTAATTTTGAATGAGGGCGGCCATTTTAAAATTATTCAATACATGTGTAGAGTTTTGTCTCATATTAAATTATTTTTTACTGAGGTTAGAAATTCTTTTTTAACTATATGGGTGCTTTTTGTGAGAAAAAGATATGCCAATTGAATTTAACTGCATCAAATAATTAAAAAAAAAGATTACTCATTAAATTAAAAAAAAAATACAGATGCATTATGGAAGCAAGTAACAAGCTAGTTTATCAAGGACAGCTGCAGTGTGGGAATGAAATTGTATCAGAACAGTGTATACAGCTTGACTTAAATTCTATTCAGGTAAATATTTAATACATCAAACACAAAAACCTGGTTTGTTTACATTAACTTTTTCAAGTATCACATTCAGGGTAATTAATTAACAGTAATTAATTAAATAATTAACATCATACAAGTATTTGGATTCGATTTTTACCATGTATATTTAAATTGCATAATGAGATGTTTATTTTGTTTGAAATTCTCTAGTCCTGCCCATCTTGGGTGAAGGAAGTGTTAGATCCAAAGTTAGAGAGATCTGTAGTTTTTCTGGATGTTACTTCAGTAAGTATAATAATTGTTGAAATTCAAAGATAGTGTAAAATTTTAATACATTTTACTAAAAATACATTATTGGATTAGAATATGTTTAAAAGTAAATATTTAATTATTATTATAAAGTATGAAAATTCTTCAACATTTTTTTAGCTGTGGGCATTATCTATTTTTCACTTCTATGATGTATTTTAGAATGAATCGCAGGAGTTTTCTGATGGTAAAGGATTTGTAAACACTTTTGAAGCAGACTTGGTGTTGTCTCTTTTACAAAATCTTTCACAGGTAAGTGCGAACAATAAGAGTTCTAAAATATTTCATGATGTATTGATTTTCTTTGTGTGTATACTTTGAATTTCAAACTGTAAGATTGCTAAATCTAATGTTAAGGTACGAGAAATCCAAATGACATTCATATATCAATTGAATAGAAGACAAACGCAGGAAGTCCACTTTTTTGTGAAATCAATGTACATTTTTACATATATTGTCACTAAGACGAGCTTCCAGAGCACACATGTGCAATATAAAAATACTAGAGAACAAATATTTTAGAAAGATTGAAACATAATTTTTATACTGTTTTAATATGGAATGAGATTTAAAAACTCAATTTTTTGTTTGTTTGTCTGCTATGCAATTGATTAATGACCCATGCAGAAAATAGAGTTAGTTTAATATTATTAATTTTAGTAAGGGCCCCTTCTTTAGGATCAAACCCAATAACATGTCACTTATTAATAGTAAAGAATGACACCTTACCTGTTGATTTAAAACTACTCTTTTTGAAACAGGCTAGTGTAAAGTTGGACTCTGTTGGAGTGATATCTCCATACAGGTCACAGGTCAACCTATTGCAGTTTAAAGTTCAGACAGACCCACAATTAATGGATGCTGAAGTGAATACTGTGGATCAGTACCAAGGCCGAGATAAAAGTGTTATTATTGTTTCATTTGTCCGTACTCAGACCGAAAATGTGAGTCCTTAAGTTAAAACTATAAGATTTTTATCGCAAGTATTATCAACTTGTTTCACTAAAGTATTTTTAATAAAAAATTTATGTATGTGACCTTTTTAAAAAAAAAAACAACTCACAACTTCTTTATATTGAAATATTTTCTAGGCTGGTGAACTTTTAAAAGACGTTCGTCGACTCAATGTTGCTATAACTCGAGCTAAGCACAAGCTAATTCTGATTGGCTCAGCAAAAACATTGAAAACATATGATCATCTGTTGGTTCTGCTGACATGGTTGGAAGAACAAAATAATGTATCCTTTCATCAAAATTTTTTTTATTAAGTCGTTAAAATAGAAAATCTACTCAGAAAACAGAAAGTTGTATCGTTTTTGTGTTCCTGTATAAGATTTCGTACAAACTATCAATAAAAAATACAAACATTAAATATCAAATTTTTGCTGACATGTTTTTAAATTTTCTGTCTCTTTGATCATTAAAACTCAAGTTTTTTTACTTAACCAAAAAAAACAGATTATAAAATATCAAAGCCAGTAAAACAGGCAAGAAAGTTCAGTTTGTATCAAGAAGGTAGTTTTGGGCTCTGAATGTCTGCAAGTAGATACTATTCTCATATTATTGCAACATATATTAGCCGAATGTGTTCAAAGAGATGATTTGAAGCTGTCGTATTTTGTTAACCTGAAGCTTCATTTTTCTTTTACTTTAATTATAATTTTATTTTACTTTGTCTTTGTAATTTCAGATATTTTCTGAAATCTGTAGATAATGTATTTAAATATTGAAAATAAAATTTTAAGTAAATTGTGTAAATAATTCCACCCATTTCTAATTTATAATAATTATTGCTGCAGTATTTAATTGTTAAAGATGTTTGTATTCATGTCTGGTGAAGTAGCATTTAGTTCCATTTTTAGCTAAATTAATTGTTTTGCAAATTTTAGCATTATCCAATGTGCAATACATTTTATCTAGTTTGTGATGTTGTGTGCTCATTTTTTAACACCATCACAAAATCAAATGTTGTAAAATTCAGAATAAAATTTTAATGTGTATAAATAATAAATAAAATGTATAATTATAATACATAATTTGAGCATTCATCATAATATCGTTATTTTTTAGTCAAATTCATCACAATCTTCATCAGGTTCCTCAACCTCTTCCAAATCATCTTTTTCCGAATTGTGGCCTTTAGGTTCCCTTAGTATAAGATTTAATCCACGATCTTGAGCCAGCTTGGTTAAAGTTTTATACTCAGTTTCTGTTGTTTTTAAGAAATAAACATCAAGGAAATTTAACTCTGTGCCTGCAAGAATAAAATCCAGCACTGCCTTGTATGTAAGGGAGGGAACTGTTGCTATATGAAGCACTTTGAGATGTTTTAATGTCTTGTTTAAAATACTCAGACACTTAGCTGTCAGATGATTACAGGAACATAAGTTAAGGCGCTCTAACTTTGGAAGATTCTGTAACAATTAAAAGGGCATTCATAAGTTAAAAATGTTAATTGATATTCTTAGTTGCCTTATTAATTATTTGGTACTAAGTATACAATGTAAAGGTTATATATTTTTTAGATTTATTATATAAATTATTTAATTAATGTGTATAAATTGTAAAAATGAACTATTCAATAAACAATATTTGTTTACCATTATTATTTGTTTAAGACAATGTATTTCAGTTAGCAACAGGTTATTTCTTTTTTTTTTACAAGTTGCAGCCAATTAATTTGATTGATTAACATAAAAAACTAAGCTAGATATGCAGCATTAATATCTAGCAATAGCCAACCCTAAAGATCCTTACTCAACTTACTGTAGTAAATTGATTCAGTACTGAGTCTGTTATGATGTAACCACAATCTTTTAGGCTGACCGCCACCAGGTTAGGACACTGTGTCCATATCATCCTTAGTGTGTTCTTGGTCAGGTAAACTCCTTCAAGATCAAGCCTTGTTACAGTTGGTACCAGAAGAGTCATCAAAGCTTTATTGCTTAGTTTCTTTTGTCTTTTTAATCGACGAATCATGTCTCTTTAAAATAAATTTTTATATATAAACGTAATAATAATTTAAAAAATGACTTAACTCCAGATAGTTTTAATTATTCATAATTTTTACAAAAAAAAGTTATTTTAAAACACTTTTAAAAATGTGTTAATCGGGCACAAGATTTATGGAATCTGTAAGGTAAACTGGATGGGCATCAAATAAGAAATTAACAAGTCTACAAAAAAATAATCCCAGTAGAACATCCTTGAGTCCACCAAGCTATGATGGGTACCTCACCTATGTTAGGGAAAGTAAAGCGGTTGGGCAAAGTGCTGACCGCAAACTATTCTTTCATATGCTGAGGTCACAAAAACAGGATAACTACTTTATCAGCCACTTAAAAGTAAGACTAACAGATTTTCATTCAAGTAAGTTTTCAAGTGACTCTGACAAGCTATTTTGAATAAACTAATCAGATCTGTAATGTTTACCTTATGATATTCTCATCGGGGAAATCCTGCAGGTCATAATAATCCAGATTACTTATGATATAATTCATGGACGTCTCTAACAGTGTGTGAACATTACAGCCTGTGTGACATGGATTCTGTTAACATGGAGAGAATCTATTAACCTACTGTGTTACAATGGGCATTTTTATTCTAAATTTATTTAATAATTTTTTTAAAATTGTGTAATAATTATTAAAACAATTCATTTTTGAAAGATTATTCACTTTTTAAAAAAATTATTAAAGATAACCTTATTCAGGAGTTGAAAACCTTTATATATAAAGAGCCATTGTATAAACTTCCAGCTAAAAAGTTTCTTGTCTTAAAAAAAATAAATAAATTACTTTTTCAAAATTCCTTAAATAGGCAGCCCTGATGTATATTTTACCATCTGTTTCTCTCAAGTCATATCTCTTGACTTTGCGATAAGACACAGAAGTTTTGACACTGTCTAAAACATCTTCTCTCGAGTAGTCAAGCATTAAATTGGTTTTCAGCAAATCATCCAGATGTACATAACCTAAAAATAAATTTGGATCAAAACTGAATAATTTTTTTTTTAAATGGTTTAACGATTCTTAATCTAACTGAATTAATGCATAATTTGATAATAATAATTAGTTAAATTAGACTGTTAAACAGTGCTTAATAAAAGATTTCATGAAACAGATTATGTAATAACTGAGCAGCCTTGGCATGAATTTAAATAGCCTCAAAGCACATATGAGATGTAAAATATATCTTCATATTTAAAAAAAAAATTAAATCACAAAAAATGAAAATAAACATTTAGTTAGAAAGGGCAGCTACTCTAACCAGGGGAAGTAAAAAATGAGAGCAAAATAATTAATTTAAATAAAGCGATGCTAATTACTTACCATTATCATCTACATCTAACCCTTCTTTACGTGCACCATAGCGCAACAAATAGGCTAGACGTTTTGATAGCTTTGTTAACTCAAATTTATTGTCATTGGTTTTTACATTCGTTGTTTCGTCATTGGTACGAATTTCCATTTTCCTATGATATAGATCTAGGGGTCTAGTTCCTTGATGTTTCCTACACTGCAATATCGCCACGTTTATTTTAAATGAAACTACTTAAGCAGTAAATTCATCCAGTCAATTACTAAAATCGAAAAGATCAGACTACGCTTTACTTTAATTAATAATGAATCAATCTTCAAAGTCTTCAAATGAAACTTGGAACTGATGTAATTTCTTCTTATGATTTATCTACATCTAGATCTACACTTAAAATAAATAGCCTTATCTTTCTACAAGTAATAAGATTACGAGTCGGTAGCCTGCTTTTAACATTGCTCTGATAATTTCGTAAACAATGTGCAATACGATAGACCTAGGCTACTGAATCACATTTACAAATGTCAAAAATAGCAATAACTAATCATCTAAAAATAGATGTATTGATGTGTGCTGTGATAATGCATTTTATTAATGTCAAATATCAACATTCTGCTAAATTTTGTTGACTTGCAAAAGTACGGTTAGATATAGAATCTAGATCTATATCTAGGGACTTCACTATCTATCAGCGAGACAGAAAAAAAAGTTAAGTTAGGTTAGGCATTTCCCATTCCCATCAAATAAAGATATGTAATATAGAAACACCCATTTTGATATTAAATCAAATTCAAATTATTATTTGGTGATTTTCCCCTCTGTTTTATATGTTTTTAGTACAAAGAGTGTAAATATTTATAGTAATAAATTTTAAAGATAGGTCTAGATTAGATTTCTATATGCAATTCCAGTTTTATTCTGTGTCGCTCTAAATTTAATATACTGGGCCTAGATCTAGTTACCATTCATTTCGGCAAAAATCTGGATCTTAAACAAAAACGAAATGAAAATGCAGTGCATGGACACAGCAAATTTCTGTTTTGTACTGCAACAGACTGTAACTAACGTATAAATCTAGATTTAAGCCACGAGAATCTATGTTATACAATAAAATACATAACATAGATTTGTAATCTAATTCTAATCTAAGTCATCTAAGATTACTGATTTGATGATCTAGAAAATCTTAGAGAATCTAGTGATTAGAACTAGATTAGATCTATTTGATTTGTTGTGTAAGACTGCTCATTTTCTAGTGTGGATCTTGAGTCTAAACTCGAATTTTTTGTAGTTTCACTTTTTTTTTTGTAGTTTTACTGTGTTTTACAAGACCAAGTCAAACAAAAATTTATTTAAATTTAATTTAAAAATTTGACGTTTTCAAATAATAATTTATTATTATTAATATAGGCCTATTAGTATTTAGACATTATTATTTATAATATTAAATAATATTAGTAATCTATGGTAGTAAAATAATATTATAATAGGATAATACTTTGAATCACACCCTATTGAATTCCTGGCGGAACAATCCTCTGGCTTGATGACAACCAGCAGGCGGGCTTGTTGCATTGTATTAAATAAATATAAACTCAAAACAATAATTTAAACAACTAACAAGATTGTTGAAGCTCCTTCCTGTTTTAGCCTTGATAACATATTAACCAAAATTTTCACCATTCACAAATATTGTGAAATAATTTATTCTATAACTTTGAATATAAGATAATTAGCAACAAAGGCTAATCCTAATAAAAATGTTAATTGTATGGTCTGACAATGGACTTTTCAAAAATGAGTTTGTCATTGGTATCTGATTAAATTACTAACACAAATTTCCCTAATATTAATCTGGTATTCTGTCTGTTTCAACATTTCATATAGATCTAGTAGATTGTTGTAGTTTTTGTGTGTGTTTGTATTTTTTATTACCTTTAGGGTAGTGTTAGCAAAAATAGTAGGTAGGGGAATAAACTAAACTTGCTAATAATAATAATTTGCTTTTTTGTAATTATCTGTTTTTATAACATTAACAGATTAATTAGCATAATCTTTTCCAGTTTGGCTCAGGACACATGAATTATATTGGTTATTACTGAAATCCTGTTAACTGATTTTCATTCCAACAGAAATTTTTGTAGAGAAAAACAATGCTGAATGACCTGAGTCCTGTTGCTGTTATTCTTATAACATCTGGAACTCGAGGTAACAGGCTGTTGTTCAGGTACCCATACACGCAGGAGCCAAGGCATGCAAACAAATCAAAAAGGGTCATCGGGAAAAACCCTTACGCCATTAAAATAACGGAGAATCTCCAGGATGGTAAAAAGAGCAAAGTGTTCACATCTTACATCAAAGATGGTGTCTTTACAGGATTTTCAAACCAAACTATAGCCAATTTCTTATTTGTAAAGTCTGATCTATGTGGCAAAAAATTCAGCGTTGAAATAGACGATGTGAGGTTTGTTGGGTATCCAATCTCTTTACTTCACCTGACTAGAGACACCAACCTGCAGAATTCCATGAGCTCCACATCAAGACAACACAATATCCTGTCCGTCAATGTTGTGTTTGTTCTGAGGGCTGGCGTGTCAGAGTCTGTGATCAGCTGTTACCAGGAGCTGACGCAACAGATGGCTGTAGCTATAGCTCACGAGGAGAAGAGATGTCAGTACTTGACCAAGGAAGCAAAGGTTTAATTTACTCTAGTTTTTAATCTAATTTAACTAATTCAGTAAAATAAGATAGCAGAGGTTATATTAATTCAAGTATTTTAAGTAAATCATAAATTCAGTATAAATAAGAAATCAATTCGACTTAATAGTAATAACAAAATACCAGACAAAATAAGTAAAAAAAAATTATTAACGCTATTTTTTTTCTTCATTTGCTATTCATTTGACATTTTGCTGTTTGTTATAAATGTCAACATCCTTGTAACTCTGTATCATAATTCCCAGATAATGATGTCAGCATTTGATGAGGCATCAGTGACCGGTGATGATGACATGGTCTCGCCTCTGAAACAGATCATTCATCACAGCAGCTTGGCTAAAGAGTTGAAATCTGTTTTTGACAGTCTGGAGAGCAGTGGCCAGGCACTCTTCTTTATGAACCAGTGGGTAGAAATCAATTTCTGCCTCCCACACAAAATTCATGCAATGCTAAATCCGGGTAGAACTATACAATTGGAGGCTATTTACAGGTATGTCAAATTATTATATAAACAGTTCTACTGAAGGTGATAAGTATGTCTTTCATTTTGTATTGCTTTTATTAAATATTCAACTAGTGGTAATATAAAGACAGATTTAACTTGAAAATTCTATTTATACAGTTTTAAAAAATAATTAGTTCCTTTTCTGTAATAATTTACAACTCATTTATACATGATGATTTATACATGATGATCGCAGTTAAATTGCTAGCTGCTTTTTTTTTGGGTTGATCTCTATTGCACCCATAATGGCAGAGCGAAAACCCAAATATTTTTTCTTCCATACCCAATAAATCCTATTTGTCTTTACCTCCACCCCCAACAGATATAATCTCACATAATTAATTATATTCAGATAATTATCAGCTCAATATTTTCTAGGTGCTTGTCATATGTACGACCGTACCATGGCATACTGCTGATAAAATCAGAGAAAGAGTTGCTGAATTTTCTTCCACTAGATGGCTCACCGTCGTTAGTTAGGCTTATCAAATTAACTACACCTGTCAAGAATTTAAAGACTCTGGCGCTGGAGACAGATCTGAGCATTACACAGGTCACATTTTAGCACAACAGTTGTTTTGGTTTCATTAGCTAGTCATACCCTTATTTTGGTAGCTAATATTAGTCTTAAACTTTTAAACTGGTAGAAGTACTAGGTTTAATGTTAATTTTGGAATTTTTGTATTGTAAGCAGGGACATCAACTCACAAATGTGCTTATTGAATAGCATAACTAATGTTTAATACCTGAAATTTGAAAAAAAAGTTTGAAAAAATATATTGTTGCTCATTTTGAACTTTAATCTTTTTTAGATCTATCAACTAGTTTGTCACATGATTTACTGGGGATTTGCCATGCTAATCTATCCACTGTGCCAGTTTAATCGATACGTAATATCTTCTGCAGCAGATATCTCTGTGAGTACAGCCCATTTGAAAAACTTAAATACATGAATTAATCAGTTATTAGCTACATAACCATAATCATTCCTACCAGATACATACAAATTTTAACCATGTAATTTTTTCTCAGTTAAACTCCAGGCTGAGTCAAGAATTTTCAATGTGCTTTCCAGGATTACAGCTTCAAAAAGAGATCTTTAAATATTCTTTTCCTTCTGATATGTTAGATGGCAAAGACATGATGGCTAATTTGAATCCCAGATATTTTGATAAAATAAACCAGGTATGGTGCACACATCACACACCAGGTTCAGGGTTTCTTCCAGGCATCTCTTTGGGGTGCTCTGTGCCCCCCCCCCCCCCCCCCCCCCCAATATCAAGTGCGCCCCAGGAGAAATAAGTCTGAAAGAAACACTGACCAGGTTTTCTAACTACTTGTAATTGTATGTTTGACCACCTTCCCCCCCCCCCCCCCCCCCCAGTTTAAGTTTGTTTTGTACCTTTGTGTATATTAAAGTTATTAAGTGAAGATTTTTAATAGTCAAATTGTTAAGAATTGTACTTAATATAAAATTAAAGTTGGATCTAGCCTCTAAGTTTTATTGGTGGTGGTTGGGGGGGGGGGGGGGGGGCTGGCTAAATATAAATATATTTTTGGGGTTTGGTGATCTCTTGAGATCTGCCCATAGCTATATAGGTGTACATTAAGAACAGAACAATTTGTATAAAATACAATAAAAATTACAAGTAAGCTAAAGATTCGTTAACTTTTTGATAGGCCTAAATTATCCCTTCCCTCAAAATATTTCACACAGTTTTTGGATGTGTTAAGGATCTGGCTTTGTGTAGACTGAAACAAGATTTTGTGATGAAATGAAATAACAGAAATTCTTCTTACTTATATAAAATTGTGTTTATGTTCCAGGTAGTTGTGTGGATGCTACAACACCATGTTCTGAACCAGGTACACACCTATGTTAACTTGTTGCCCGCCAGGAAAAAAGAATTCCCTACATCATTCAATGCTAGTCACTCGACCATGTCTTCCACATACTCATCTACTTCCAGTGTCCAGGTGGGTACACTATTAAGTACTGTAACTAAAAAAAATATATCTGTTACTATCATTTGAAAGATACCTGTTTTTGGTTTAGATTTTGATTTTTCATTTTGTTTTATAACATAGTTGAGATGTTTTAAAATATTTATGGATACGTAATCATAATGATGGTAATGGGGATTCTAACAAAAATTAAAGAAATTATTTATAAATGGTCATTTACTTTTCAGCACTTTTAAATAAATCAAAATGTAATACAATTTTAAAGTAAAATAAAATATACTAAAATAATAAAAAGGCAAAATGTAATACAATTTTAAAGTAAAAAAATAATATACTAAAATAATAAAAAGGTAAAATGACGAAATAACATTAAAAAAATAAGACATAATAGAGAAGTAATTTTAAAAAAATGAAATAATATTAAAATTAAAAAAAATAATATTGTGATAAACCGACATTATTAAAATAATCACATAAAGTAGTAAAGTAAATCATATAAATAGTCATATGAATGATAATAACTAGACAACTTTTCTCTTTGTGGGTCCTTAATGAACCAGGTAGTGGAGGAGTCTTATCTCTCCGTCCTCTTGGAAGACCCAAGCACATCCACCCTAGACCGGGCCACCAGCATGTCTGACATTGCTAGTGTTAACAGTGAAGAGAGTGGTGGCCAGTACACCAACCTGCTCTCCAAGTCACCTTCACAAGAAGCCAACAGCGATGGGTCCATTGTGCCAGAGGATATGAAGACACAATGGAGAATACCTGTGAGTGAATACTTAATGTTGTTTTGTTTGTTGCTGCTAATTAGTGATAATTCATTACTCGAATTATTTGTATAAAATTATTCTTTTCATATTTCTTCTCATCTGATGCATGTGAATACAGCATCATATCAAAGCTTATTTGTTAGTATTGCTGTTAGTGTAACGGATAGGATTAGTGTTAGGGTAACAGTAACAGCCACATTTAGGGTTAGGATAGCATTTTATTAATTATTTGTATGTATGTCTCAACAACTTTTTAATTAGCAGAAATTTAGTTTTAAAAATTGGTTTGTATTCAAAAGAGGGGAAAAATTGCCAAATATTTAATACAATGGTTGAAAACTGGGTGGAAAAAATATATTTCTTAAAACTTTATAGTTTTATTTTTAAAATGATCTGCAACCTGCGGCACTTTGAATAACTGCTGCTTTTCTTCTTTGGTAAAAAAATTGTTGCTTGGTAAATTAGTGGAGAAAAAGTTACAAAGAATGTAGTTTTCACAATTTTAAGAAACACATTTAAAAATATGGTCGCTTTAATATTTGTTTGAAAACAATTTTATAAAATGGCTCCTTGCTGATCCTCATTTCCCAACAAACACAAGTGGCCTCCATATCAAAATAGATAATATTTTCACTTTTAAGAATGAACAATGCAAATTTATAGGAAAATTTTGGGAAAAAAAAACATTGAGATACTTTTAAATTAAAATTACGGTATGTTTTCAAATATAATTAGATTTTTAATTAGGATTTCAAATATAATTAGATTTTTAATTAGGATTCTTTGTTTTGACACTTTTCTTCAGGATTCACTGCTGAATGAGTTGAAGCCTGAGATGAAAGCCGCCATCTTTAAGTGTCAAGCTGCAAAGAATCCTGAAGACCTGAATTTATTTGCTAAACTTTTCCCATACTTCAATGGCAAGCACCACTTGGAGGAGATGATGTTCTATGAAAACTTGCACAGGTCACAGTTGGTGACACTGCTTGATAAATTTAACGAAGTGTTAGTGCTGTGTCACCACGAGGATCCAGCTACATCCTTGTTGTAGGAACAGTTTTTTTTTTGTTCAGTAACTGAACATTTTAAACTGCAACGAGTTACTGTATTATAATTATAACATAGGTGCAATATAATTTACAACAAATATGTCTCTGTATTCATTTAAGGGACCATTTTACCAATACCACCTGTTACTAAGCCAAAGACTTCATTTTTTATATGAATTACTGACATATTTATTTATTATCTTGTATTTGTAACTTGTGGAATAGTGAATATAAAAAGGATGCTCATTCTTCTAAATGGCAAAACTGACTAGTGAAAACTTTTCATCAAAGTCGGTTGTTTCTGTTTTTTTTTGTATTAACTAAAACTAACAGTATACATTTATTATTGTGCTAAATGCAGGACATTGTTCATCTCTTTTTGGAATCCTTTTTTTAATTTTATACATTTATTTAATGTTTGAGAGGATGTATTTTCATTGATATTATTAGATTCACTTTGAAATTAAAAATGTATTTTTTGTATAAAAGAAAAAAGTATTAAAGATTTTATAAAAACTACCTGTTTGTTGCTGTGTACTAAATACATTGATAATTGACTATAAAAATGGTGAAAAAACACAAGGTGTTTTTACATTTAAAAGTTCAATTTTGTAAATTCTGCAGTGTGGCTCAACCAGGACAGGGAGGTATGGCTGAGTTTTGCTGGTGCTTTATGCTCTGCAGTGAGCCATGAGGATTAGGTAAGACATCTAAACCTAACCCACCAGCAGTAGGTTTTAATGGCAACATTTTTTGTTGAAGTTCTATCACAGTACTTGTTCAAGCTAATTTTTTCACAAATAATAACAAATGCGATGGAGTGGTCTAGCGGTAGAGAGCGGCTGACCCATAAGTCTCAAGTTAGAATCCGGGTTCAAGTCAGTAGACTATCCCTGAGTCCACCCAACTCTGATGGGTACCTAACTCATGTTGTTAGGGAAAGTAAAGGCGGCTTGGCATAGTGCTGACCACACTATCTCTTCATATGCCTTATTTAGGGCTGAGTGATGCATGGAAGGCGAAGGCGAATAGGTGCCGTGTGGAATGGTAGGTTCGAACCCCGTTGGTGTCTGACTGCTTGTCTTTACTTGGACTATTTTCTGTACCTTTGTCTACCCTTGGCGTTGAAATATCACTTTCTGTTAATATTGCTATTTCAGTTACAACGCCTGCTTCCACCCCCCTACACGTTTAAGCCAAGGTCACAGAAACAAGTGAACTCTACTTCACTTGCCCCATAGACCGTCAGGTTTGAAAGGGAAACTTTAATTTACTTTAAGCTGGGAAAATTTAAGCAGAAACTCCAACCTAAAAAAAGACTACAAATCATGTTAAAAATGTCGAATGTTGACTGAGTACACAATTCTAATTTGAGCTTTTGTATAAGGGTGAATCAATATGTAGACTTAAATCATTTAATACATTTTTATTTGAGATGGTACTTAATTTTTCTGAACAATAATTAAGCCTAATTTCAACATAAAAAAAGATAAAAGAAAATACTAAGCATTTCACAAATATTTATTACTCATTTATAAATACACTTTTTATCACATCATTAAATGAAGCATTTTTACAGAAGTAATAATGACGATTATTCTCATAACATTTTAAACAATTGTACAAACCAATAAAGAAACAACCATTATAACATAGGGCGAAATCTCCAAATCATAAAATGCCCTAGGCTCAATATATCACTTTGTTAGCTATCATATATATTAGTGTTAAATTCTATTGAATGAGTCAACAAAAATGTATTATTTTACCACAAATTAGAATGTGGCTAATACATTTTCATTAGATGAACAGAGATAGATGGCGTGAGAATTGATTAAGCAAGTAGCTATGATTAATTAAAAATTCTAACCACTCTGATACTAAGGGATCAAATCAAGGAAACCACATAACATCGATTTTTTTTTTTACAGAAAAATATCTAATCCTACTAAATTTTTTTTAAAAGTACAAAAACTTACTGAACTCTTTATGTATAACACAAAAAAAAAACATTTGTTCTCAAGTTTGAAAACTTGTTGATAAAATGTCTTAACTTTAACAATATACACATAGAATTAAAGCTAAAAGATGAAAATTTTAAAAATCAAATGCTGATGGTCAACAAAGCAGAGTGATTAAAAATTATAAATTCTAAGACAGACATGCGAAACAATTAATTATACTAAAATATGACATGAATAAATATTATTGAGCGCAATATGTCAAAGGACCTGTGATGATGGAGGTGTAAGAAATCTTGGCAGACTCTCTGATTATGGCCTCTAAGGTATTTAATTTATACCTAAAGCCACCACTCATGAATTATGCAAGAAAAACACTGAGATAAATATTAATAGCCAGCTGGGTATCTGAATGGAAAGCTAAGGCAAACATGGCACTTAAACCTATATCAAAGATCAAACTGACATAAGTGACACACATTTCTATCTAGAGAGATGTGACATTAAATGTATGAGAAACTTTTTTTTTTAAATTTGCCATTCAAATTATTGTATTTTTAAATCTGACACAAAGTTACAATAAACAGATTTACATACACTCATAAGAAAAACCAGGGTACTTGAAAAATTTTTAGAACTGCCTGATAGTTTTGCGGTTTTCTAAATGTTTAACATATTGCAATGAGAGAAATCAAAATATTGCACTTATTTCACATAACTAATGCGTATTTTAATTAAAAACTGAAGTAGATGTTAACGTATATTTGCATTACCTACAGTTCTTCCTAACATTTGATTTAGATTATAAAATTTTTTTTATTCAAAGCAAATACATACGAAATTAATAAGTTTTTAATTAATTAATACCAAAAATGTTTTGATGAAGTTCATTCACTTTTGTTTTTACTGAAACTATAAACAAATCTATAGGAACCTGGACATTTCAATGTACAACAAAATTCTTTAATAAGATGAAATATACTCGCCTACTAATAGAGATTATTTTGATTCATAGGATCAGCTTATTAAGAAAGCAGTTTACAATAAACCATAAAATAAGATAAAAGGCTGTAAACATTTATGGAAGTAGATATTAGTATTACACGGAACAGAGTGGGATAGTAGAATGATTGCTACCTGAAAAATAACCTTCAATGCAAACAATTTCACAACCTAATAACTATATATGCTATCAGAGTACAACCTCATATATTTTCTGCGATCTGTCTAATGTGTAACCCCTTGTGTTGTCTTAAGAAACAATTTAGCATTTAATTTAAAAATAAAACAGAATATGTTTAACAAATTGAAACATAAATTCAGGTCACAGAACTTGTGACTTGTTAAAGAGCTATGTTCACATTCCACAGTAAGAAAAATAATTTACATAATAAAAGTATGAAACATTTATTAGGAAATATATTGATTACAAATGTAGTTTGTATTGCTCACTAAACTCTCCCACACAAAAAAGTGTGGTGTAATACAGTCACAACATTTGGAAATCTTGTACACTGGTTTTTTTATCCCCTATAGTAACTGCTTTACTTGGCATTTTACTTAGTTAAGTCATAGGCTCTCTATGAGACACAACACTCGACACTTATTTTGATTAGCATGATGTTGCCTTAGTAAATAGCACATTTGCTCAACAACTGAGGAAAAATTTACCATTATCCATTTTTATTGTGTTAAGTCTTGAAACCACCAACAAGTACCGCCTTTGATTACATTACAGACAATTTTTTTTGGACAATTATTTAAGCTGAAATTAAATATAAATTCATTAATTGATTCAGAAAAAGATAAATAATTATACTTTCACAATCAATAATTTTGAGTATTCCATTTCATTAAAAAAATGAAATGCTATCTACAATTGAAACCTACAAACTGAATTATTTTTCACAGAGAAGGCTAATATGTTGGAGATTATAGAAATGTAAACTGGTTTGTTATTAAATTAGAAAAGTTATTAATGTAATGGGAAACGTATAAAAAGCTGCAAATCTTTCCGGTTTAAAAAAATAGTTATTTGTTCTGTTAAGTTTACTGATGCAATAGCAGAATTCCTTATAATAAGTAGAACGTAAAAAACTAAAACATAAATGAAAATTAAAAAGTAATACCCAGAAAGAGCTTCCAAGATTAAAGAAAGTATCAGCACATAAAAATGTTTAGGTGGTGTTTCAATAGAGATTTTACAAAAGGAGGCATTCTGGTTTGAAAACCTTAGGTCATAAAAATTGTTACTTACAGAATTCAAATTTTTAAATTTTCCAAAACCCAATGCCGGAATGAGTTTTGGGAAATACTCAAAGAGTATTACTATAATCTAGTTATGCAAAGAACACGAAATTTTATGTACATGAATATGTCATCGCAGGAAAAAAGGTAAAAGATATTGAAAAAAGATTTCAACAACCACAATTCTGTTGTGTTTACTGATCACCATGGAAGCACCACTGATGTACCACATAAACTGTGGCCAACAATAATGACATATGATACTTATGATTGTGTTATCATTTGCATTGGATATGTGGTTTTAAGTACAGTTAGACCATAAAAAACATATTTAACACACCACTGCACAGCACATGACTTCACGAACTTAATACGCTAGAACATTAACCTAATATGAATATGGTCAGATCCATTAATTATCATTGGTAGCTTATGACAAAGCTTGTAATCATGTCCTAAGTAAAAATAATACTTGAAGATACCACTGCAAAAGGTGCTGAAAATTTGAGAAAAACCATTCGGTCACATTACAAATTAGCCGTTATTTTAATCAATAAAAATGACAATTTTTGGAAAATCAATTAGAACATATTGCAAGGTCAAGTGCTGTGGTTTCAAAAGACCAATAAAAAAAAAAATTGGGGGAAATTTCACACTTGGTGATGGCAAATCAGGAAATGACTGGAGCTACAGAAATATATGTATATATGTATATACAAGAAGCCATGAATTACCTTCGATATTTTTTATCAAATTTAAATTAGCCTTCTCTTAGATCCAAATAAATTGTTAAAAATTAAAGCTACTTGTTCAATACAGATAAGAAGTCAACTAAAAAAATCTATGATCATTCTGCTTTCTGTAAAACAACCCAGTTTTTTGTATACATGATAATTTATGGGAAAATTTATTTGTACTAGTAGAGAACAAAATTACATTTACTAAAGAATGAAATAAGCAAAAAGAGAAAAAGAAATGTATGCTTTAAGTACAGAAATTGTTTGCAGAACTTATACAGTACAATAACTTATTGCTTAAATGGTATTTAAAAAGAAAAACAACTTAGATCTAATTTTTTTCTGGTACAAACAAAATGCATAATCTGTTAATTTCATATTTTAATTCAAAGGAGTGATAATAGATACATGTAGACCTTTTACTAATAAAAAGTAAAATAGCCTTTTTAATTTAAATAAACATTTTTCTGGCCAGTCATTTCAACCTTTTTCAACAAGTACATATAAATACTAATAGAAATAAGAAATAATGTCATTATGTTGGTAATCAGCCAAACTTTTTAAAAATGTCATTAAAAGAATATTATGTAAACTATTTTAAAATGTCTAGTAGAGTTTGGACATAATACAGAATTTAAAAAAAAAAAATTTGACTTTGAAATGCATTCAGCTTAAAATGTGTCCATTAACAATAAAATAACATCTCTTCTGTACAAACTATTCATTCTATCACACAGATGCCTCATATGTATCATAAACACTTTTTGTATTTTCTTTCCGAGCACCCTGACTCTGGCGTCTAAGTCTTTCATGGATGCGTTTATCACGAATTTCAACAGCATCAGTTACTGCCAGGGCTTTGACAAAAGACATAGGTGGATGAGGCTGCTGCAGTGAAACCGAGGAGGATTGACTGGGGTGTCTAGATGAAGCAATGGAAGGATTGGTAGATGGAGGTCCAGGAGCCTTGCTGCTTGTGGAGATGCTTTGATTCCGAGCAAATGATGGTGAACGCACAGAGCTGCCTGAGGACAGGATCGACGAACTGCCGGGGCGCCCTAGACTACTACTAACGCTAGATGTCTGCAGAGGGTGGTACCCTGAGATAGTCTGTTGTGAGCTATTGTGTGCACTACCTATACTATTTTCTTCTCCATACCCTGGTCGAGGAGATGATTCTGAAAGATTGCGAGGTAAACTGCGCTCCCGACCAGCTGGCCTATCCCTTGATACAGATCTCTCCCTAGGAGGATCAAAGTCAAAGCTTTTAGAGCGGTCCCTGTCTCGAGGGCGATGAGTTTCCTTAGAGTGTGACTCTGATCCCATTCTGGGACGTGAATCTTGATTATCTCCATATTTACCTGCCGCCTCTCTAGACGTGCTTACATCTCTTTGTTTATCTCTGCTAGAGTATCTACTATCAGAATCACTGTAACCCCCTGATCTCTCTGGGTCTCTGGAACCCCCACCTTCCCTTGTTCTGGAATTACTACGTGGATTATCCCTTGGGGAACTTCCATCCCCTCTGGTCCTTTCTAATGTGTTAGGATAATCCTGTCCACGTGCAAGTCTATCAAACGATCGATTAAGCTGATCAGATGAGCCCTTTGTACCAGAAAGAGATTCCCGGGACCTGTTAAGGTACTCCTGAGACCTATTCAAATTCTCCCGAGAACGACTGGGGTAGAAGTTTCTAGCCCTGTCTTTGATTGGAGATGTTGAAGGGGCAGCTATAGATCTTGAATCTTTTGTATTACCCCTAGCCGGAGAGGGCGAATGGGGTGTTTGGGGTGGGCGTCCTCCACCCCTGTCCCCACGCTGTGATGGTGGAGATACAGGATGCTGTGGTGAACCAACGCGTGGTGATGGCTTTGACGATGGTGGCTTGGGAGGTAAATTTTTTTCCACATTAGTGCCATACATACTTGTGCCATTAGAAGTACTCCTTTTCATTCCAGGGCTATTGATAGACAGGGGCCCACCTGTATTATGAAGCACTGCATCTTCACTTGTAACCAATGGTGCTTTATGACGCCCCAAGCTCCCTCCATTTTGAACATTGTAAGAGCCTGATTTTCCTCCAGGGCGATCGTAAGTATTTTTGGGCTGTGGCTGACTCACTGACGGAGGAGAAACTGGTCTCTTTGAATTGTTGGAATGAGCATTTGCCAGCGCAGCTGAGGTAGAATGCTGCTGCTGGTTTGAGCCTGAATCAAAGAGATTTGTGTAAGAACCGCCTTGTTTACGATTAGCAGGTGGAGATGGCTCACAATCAAAGGACTGGCTACTTTTGTCAAGATATTCATCATGCTCGTGGGTACTGCGGGGCCTCAACTGAAACAATAAAAACAAAAATTAATTAGATTTAGTGGACACACATACATTTTCGTAGCATGTCAACATTTCACTCTAAATGGTACTTTAAAGTGTGTTTATACTGAAATGCACATTTCATTTATAGTGATAATTTATGAACAATTTGCCATAAATGTACATAAATATTAGTTTTCAACTGCTATGGCTATTAACAAATTTCTAATGTACCCCAGTACATCAAAAGACATTCGTTTCCTTTTATTTTCTACAGAAAACATTTTTCTACTTTTTGAAATTGTTTAGCTACAAAATTCAGCACCCGAGTTAACATCTACTAATGTTTTAAATTTAGCTGATCATGTCATGTTTCAACAGAAAAAAAATAACCATAGACAATGTATACAATTTTAAAAATAAAACAAATATTTAGCAAAATGAGTTAAAAATGTATTTAAAAATTCACATTCATAATTTCCCAGCTCAATTTGTACAATATGTGACTTCTAAATTTGGATAATCCAGTTAAACTAGCAAACAAAACAGACAAAATTGAGATTTATAACATTAATCAAAAGAATACATCTATGAGGGTCATAAACAACATACCTGAAACTTATTAAAAATTGTTTTGTTAAACTCTATACAACATTACAAGAAATCACCAAGATGTGTTGTTTAATGTAAAAATGAACAGCGATAAGAGAATTCTCTTTGTTGGTCTCATACTTAATTTTTCTCTCTAGTTAATAAGAATTTCTATTAAGTGAAAGATTAAGTAGATATATAGTTCAAATTGCTAACAATACAATCTTAAGAAAAAAGAAAAAATACCAAAATTTATTATTAATTAAGTCTAAAATACAGTGTAATGTGTACTATATTAAAAGCAAAAACAACAGAACTAAAATACAAGTGACACATCAATCTTAGATGAAAAAAAAAAGATAACACAACATAAAATAAAATGCAGGAAAGTGCTTCCATTGAGAGATACACCTCAATTTCTCTACAACCATATAAATAATACCACAAAACTTTCAGTTTGCAAGTTGATATAAATCATACTTCAAGACTATGAATGTGTATGCTATTTCATATAGTACTGTAACCCTAACAGTGCAGCATGTTCAATTTAAGAAAAATGAACCCCAATTCAAATACTGTTTACTAAATTTCAAGCGGACAAAAAAGGTCTTTTACAAAATAAAATGCTATTTTACCTTCAAATGGAAGTTCCATAAACTTAGCATGCAAAAATTTCGTATTACTTAAAGGAAAGTGAAACTAAAAATACAATTAACAAATAAAATGAAAATAGGAAAATTTAGAACACAAAACTATTGGATAAAAAAATGCTGCCTCTTCAAAAGCCAGTGTAAATAAATTGGCTGGCAAGTAAACAAAATGAACTGTCAATTTCATAATAGTAAGTCCAACTTTTTTTATAACAACATCCTTACCGAATAATATCTAATGGCAATGGACCTACTCGCTGGGAACATGCAAATATTAGTATTTCTCTATTCTTTAACTATAAATAAACTAGCATGCAAAAAAAAAACAAAAAAAAAACACGGAAAATATTGTTTTCTTTCGCACCTAAAACAAGTTACACCAAGCTTTACTGATTGTCAAAGTTTTGAGGTATATAAATGCAAGATAATTTCTTTGTCATAAAAATGAAAGTTGTAAGTACTCACATTATGATTTTTAGCAATTGAACGTATGCCATTTGAGTTGTTAGCAGTTGTTATGCTGACATCATTTTCAGCAGCCATGTATGTGATTCTGTTGGAATCTAATGTCAAAGTTCTTGTCCTTGGAATGTAACCTACAAGTCTGAAATCAAAAGAAATGATAGGTAAACAGTGCAAGATGAGCTTACATCCATGAGTCCAAAGATAACTTGGACAAACAACATGCTTTAGACATTTTAATAAGTTATACATAAAATACTTGGTTCTAATAAAGTCAAATATTGTTTCAATGTATAACTTACTTGGGCCACCTAGGGCCATAAAATACATAACAGCAGTTCTTTATACAACCACGTGTAAAAGGATTTGGTCCACCTTTAAATTTTCCAGTCACCTGAGAGAAAAAAATGAAGGTGTTCATTTTTTATGGTAATGTAAATGGTAATTATGAACACATAAGAAAATTCTGACTTACTTGCTCATTAGTGGTTGTTCCTTTTGAGACAAGAAATATATGGAATCCAGTCAGACCAAAAACAGGAATTAAAACTAAGCCTATGATAATCATTATAACAATTCTGGATTAGGTCAAGGAAAAAAAATTAATGGAAGCAACTATATTACTTAGCAACTAAATAATTATAACTGGTTTGAATTAAAACTATTAAAATTAGCTGCTATGTTATAATAATAACTGAATACAAGTTAAAATACAAAAACCTAACCAACTTATATTAAAAACAAAATCAAGATGCATTTACACAATCTTGTTTTAATAGTGAAAATGAAAAAGTATATTAATAACACTGTTTAACCATCTGACTAAAAAGGATACGATATGATTGGCCCTGGTTGTAGAAGGTCACTATCGTGTTTCAACGCGTAAAATACACATTGTGCAAATATTGTAGTAATGTGTACACAAAGTGTCAGCAAAAATGTGAAGAAGTAGCGATAATTTCTGCGACCAATGCAGTTATTTAACCAAGGGCAATGATGATCAAATGTCTGTAGAAAAGAGAAAACAAATGCAGTTAAGTGTTAAGCATGGTCGTTTTTAGATATTGTTAAAACAAAACCAATGTAAGTTAATACATAAACATAAAGGCTATGTTTGGCTTAAACTTACATCTATGCAATTATCACAAGAACTACAGTGAGAACTTCGTGGAGGGCGATAAAACTGACAAGTTGTGCACCATTTCATGCGAGTCTGGACACCTCGTATTTCTATATTTTTATACAATGGGGAGCGAAAATCATCATCCTTTGCTTCATCATCTGGCGCTATAAAAACAGTATAATGTTAGCCACTATATTTACTATGTGACCATAAACTACACAAAAAAACATGCCTTGTGTTTTAAAATCAAACAAAAGTAAGACCAACCACTTACAAACTGATAGATCTTTATGTAATTTAAACTATTTATAAATGAAATGGTAGAGCCAAGAATCTTTTGATTCCTATCTTCAAGTTTGTGGAATGTCCCAAATTCTACTGAGCTATTTATTTTTACTGGGAAGGTAAAAGTGGGTGTGATACTGACCATATAATCACATGGCACAGCAACAGGGGAAATATGAACTTTTTTACTTTCTAATGGACCTTTATAAACAATCTTGAAACAATGCTAATAATTTGGTAACCCATTATAAAACTAGCTGTTTTCAACAGATATTTTTGGAACCTTAGGCCTACACTGTGTTGATGTTAGAACCCCTACAGTGGCTTTCCACATGGGCTATTACCACCAATAAATATTAGGCCCTACTGCAGGTTTAATTTAATTTTTAATTCAAATAACATTTAGGCTACTTAAGCATTTCTAAGCAAGATGCTTTTTAAAAAATTTGCAACTGTAAAAAAAGATAAACATTACTGTCTTAAAAATATACCTCTAGGAAATATTCCTGGATCCATAAAAGTAGATAGGCACAGGTTGAGCATCATAAACATTGTTATCACTCCCTGAACAACAGGAAAAGCAAAACTGTACTCTATCAAATAACGACAGCTGAAATGTGAAACAACAAACCATTTAATTATGTCAGCTTATAGCCAGTTGTCTTAGTTATCAATTATGAATAAGTGAATTATTAACATATATTAATATTAAGACAGCAAAATGACCATGGCATGGCAATGAAACTGAATGAAGCATAATTTTACAAATTTAATAGAGTAGAATACAGTCTAACTAAACAAATGATGTATTAGATCTAGCCTACTTTATTAATACTTAAGTCTAGGCTAATGATAATGACTAAAGAATAAAAAACTACATACATCAGCTGCTATTGATTATGAATGAAAAAAAGATTCTAGTGTCTAGGCCAAGAAGAGGGGCTAGTCCACTGCAGCTAACCATTAGGACCCATTTGAAATGGCCATTTGTGTTGGAATGTTTTTTATAGTTTTTTTTAGTATTCATGTATTGATGTTTAGTGGATCTATATTCTATCTAGAATCTAGATCTCTAGTATAGTGTAGTTAAGTGTAGTGATCAAACAAATCATCTTGTTGTTTACATAAATAATTAGATCTATTTGTTTAGTAGTTCACCTAGATCAGTGGCTCCCAACCTTTTTCGAGTGGCGACCCCCTTTTATAAAAAATTAAGTGACCCGCGACCCCCATAGAATTAAAAAGCCGAAATTAGTATGGAAATTAATAAGCACTAAAATAAGATTTTCTAGTATACTTTCAATATGAACTACTCGTGATAACTGTTTTAATAGCATGAGTAAAACTGCATACTATTCACTAAACCTTCGTGGTTAAGTTTTTAATTTTTAAAAAATGTGTTAACGCCAACCTATGTCATTATAATTATCTTAATTTTGTTTTTAATCGAAGAATAGTGTTGAAAATATATTCTCGAAAAGTCAATCAATTTTACGTTTGGGTATCAATGGTGAATAACACCAAAATTGTGTCTGCAGTTTTTCATCTTACATGGAATCATTCTGCAAATCAAAGAATTCATCTTGTAATTCATCGGGAATGCTGGCAACATCAAGGGAAGAAGAGAATGGGTAATGCGTAAATGCAGATTCTTATTTTTTCAGCTCAGAGAAATAGCGATACAGTTCATTTTCAAGAGATTCAAGATGCCCAGAAATCGCTTCTTTCAAAATTTTAATTATCTCACAATCAGATTCATCTACCACACCGCAGAGTTTCTCAAATTTACAATATTTCCAAGATTTGTTTTCTTTGCCGATTTTGCAGCTTTGATAAAAATGCCCCGAGACTATCATGGAAAGTTATAATATTCGTTCATTTTCCCTGAAGCTTCAGGTTAAGCTTATCTTGATGTTCGAACATATCTGCTAGGTTTGATACTCTCTCCAACCACTATATGTCGTTTTAAGTATACCAAAAAGTCTTGTTTCCTTTGCACTCCCAAGAACAATTTGATTTCAGATTTCAATTCAAAAACACAATTTACAACATTTTGTTTGACAGCCAGCGTACTGTAGTGTAGAAGAGCAGAACCTCGTGATCTATATTAATGTTTTTGCTCAGTTCTTTGAAGGCTCCAGATTTTATAAAATTTACGACTTATACTAGCAATGGATTCTTGATGTCGATTGGTTAGGGCAGTGGTTAGGGAGCTAAATCTTTTATGTTTTCTGAAAGCCCGATTTTGAGCTAAACATAGATGGCGCACCATCCGTACAAACCCCCACAGCCGTTCTAACCCAATTTAATCATCCAGTTTCATAAAAGATATTTATTTTCTCCATGCTATCTTCACAAAAGAGCAACTCTTTTATCTTTGCTATCATCCGCATGAATATAGACACAGACCAGCAACTGCGAACACGAACTCACGTCTGTTGATTTATCATCTTGAAAAGCAAACAATGGTGAAAGCTTAGTTTCAATAAAAATGTGTTATTTCACATTTACGTACAAGCAGCGTTTGATGAGATTCTCTCCTATTGTTTATTTGGGAGAATGTTTACACCGGTGTCCGATAATGGAATCTTCTTTAAAAAAGGGGTGTTAGGTTACTGGTAGTTAACTAAATACACTCTTGGCAGGCTAATGTCAATGCTAACCCTGTCCCTAACCCTAACCTCACCCCTGGTCCTACCATACGCCTAACCCTAATTAATTTCTAACCATAAAATAAGACAAGATTACAATACTACTAACAACCCAACACCCCTTTTTAAAAGAAGATTCCATTATCGGACACTGGTATCTATAATCATCCGTTTATTTTTTATTTTTGCTTGGCATTTTCTATCGCGACTTCATTTGATGCTTGCACTAATGCTGGTGAAAACTTCCTGTTCGATCAAGTCTCTGGCGTTAGCTTCTTATTGACGAAAGAACTCTGTATATTTTTTGGTGTGTTCCGAATGACTCATCTCAAATGACGTTTTAGTTTTGAAGATTTCATAGATTCGTGACTGAGAACAACTTTGTACAGTGCGCTTTGTTTCTTCTCTATTACATTTCCAGTGATGTTAATGAATCTGAATTTCAAAAATTCTTCTAAATATTTGTTTTGTTTCAAATTACTAAGGTTTAGTATACCAGTTGGCGACCCCCGAGAAAGACCCCCAGGTTGGGAACCCGTGACCTAGATTAAGTAAAATATAAAAATAATGAATAGGCCTACAATTATTAAAATTATTATGGCTTTGCATTTTGCGAGTTTTTATTCAAAATTAAAAATTCTAACTTACACAAACGCGAAGTACAGAGCCGTACACACGATGATTAGTGACCATGCACATGTTGCAGGTATAATCTTCGTGGAAAGCTCACACTTAGGCATGATTATGAGGTAGTCAAGGCATAATCACAATTGTTACAGGAACAATATCCTGATAAACTTCGATTCGTCGTCGTTTTCAGACATTACTTTTTCCGATTTTCCGGGGTACATAGCCAACCTGACAACGAACTTACGACAATATATACGCTAAAGAAATATTAAATACGACAACTATGTAAAAGATACATAATATGAAATAAAATTCCGAACAAAATAATTAAGCAATTAAATTAGACACCCGTGGTACTTTTATAAAGAATTCGTTATGAACATTAATTAAAAGATCATGAGGACAAGAATGTGTAAGAATACATAAACCTGTTGTCCTATCTTTCGCGCATGTCCCATTCAATATCCGGTTTCAATCCATTATGGCCACCAAACAACATCAACAAACATTGTACTTTCATTTGTCACACATATTTTGGATATATTAAATAACGATTCATGAGGTAAAATGCATAATCAGTGTCCTGAACTCTTTAGTTTTTAATTACTCAAATGCTACTTTAAATACCTCTTATATGGTCCGTAAAATTGAGGTTTAGACTAGCACTCAGGCCTTGGCGTAAATCCGTTGAAGACTGAAGTAAAATAACTAAAAATTAAATTTAAACTGTCACTTAAAGTAAGTGACTTATTCTATTAGATTATAAATAAATATAGATCTAGACCTAGCTCTAATTGTCGTCTTAGGGCTTAGGGCATTGTTTGTTAATTTAGACTAAATTATTCTAAATAATGTGCTTTAAAGTTTTACCTTTTAATGTAGATTCAACATTACTACAAAATCCCACAACAATGTCCTACTTTCAAACTACTTTGTTTGGCAGAATAATGGTTTATTAAATCTTATTTGAAAAAAGAAAAAAAAAGTAGATCTAGCCAGAGGATGATTATATAGATCTAGAGGAGCTTACACTTTTCGGACACACATAGCGAAAAAACGCAACGTAAAAATTCCATGCGGTCTCATTCAGTAACCGCTTAACATAGAAAACAAAAAAAAGTATCATATCTATCCGCAACCATTCTACTTTAATAATGTGTGTGTCATTTTGTATTCATACGCATAGAACTTAAGCTATTCTTGTTATAGTGACTGGGGGGTCTTAACGTGTGTTCGAACACATGTAATACAGTTTTACATGTGTTCGGACACCTTTACCCGTCATCGGACATAGCACTTTTTGTTCATTTAGAATAATTTAAAGTCAATTTAATGAATAAAAACATATATTATATGCATTTATATTGTGTTATTGATTGTTTGTGAGGTAATTTTAATAGTATAAAACCTTTTTCCCACACTTCCAAAGTTCATCCCATTCAGCCATTGCGGCTCGCGCAGTACGCTGCTAAGCCAGCCAGGTCACATGATTCCCCCTCCTCTTTCGCATTCCACTGCCTTCTTGACCTTATTTTGACCCTTTCCCTTCAATAACCAGCCCCTTTTATGCTCTAAATTCTTATTTAATAATATTTTTGTGTTGCTGTCCGGTCCCATGTAAGGCCAAATAAGTTAGCGAACACCCCTTTTTTATTGTTCAAGCACGAAAAAACCCATTAACCTTGACATTTACGATGTTCCATACATATATAGAAGCTATTTATAGTGTAACCTTTTAGCTAAGCATTGATTGGTTCAAGTTTTGCCCCTAAGTCCAACCCTAGGTCACTTCATCCGGCTGGTGTAAAAATAGAAATGTGCGTACCATGCAACGTTAAAAAATTTCTAAAAATGATTCTTGAGAAAGGAAACGGAAGTACTTGACACGGAAGTGTTCATAAATGAACAGTTTACGTGCAGGCGCCGTGGTTTCGCGTGAGACATGCTAATTAAAGTTTCTATGAGCCAAAAACCGACGAAGTGTTCGGTCCTACGTAATTTTTGGTGTGTGTCCGAAAAGTGTAAACTCCTCTAGATCTAGAGTAACTTGGCCTGGCCCGACTACGCGCCTCGAAATGAACAACTCCGTAACTCTCACTTTGAATACTAATTGTAGGTACTCCAAACTGCCGAAAATCGAGGTTTCTGCTCATTTTCTTTACTTTTTCACTACTTTCCATCACAAAGTTCTCCCATAAAAATTAAGCGTATACTAATAAAAATGGTATGGTTAGAAAGCTTAACTTAAGCTCTACAATAATGTGTTGTTTGTTTTTATATTGGTAAAGGAAGAATACATGTTTTTGTAGCTTGAAAAACATCACCGCAACGATTTTTATCGGCAAAATGACAGACCCGTTTTTACCCCTATCGCATTCTGACGCTTTGCGCTTCGGCGCCACGTGACGTATGAATTCTAAACATAGCTTATCGTACGCAGGATTGAATGACCTTTAGTCTCGTATAAAATGTTAACAAATTATTTTAGTAAAAACGGTTTAATTCTCAAATTTTCTACGAAAAATTGAATTTTCACCAAAATCCACTAAAAATACAAATTTTCTACTAGCATGGTTAGAAAGATCGTCCATTTTTCTATTTAAATGCGAAACTATCTTTACAATATCAAAGATGGCGCGAATGGCAAAGCGCGATAACGAAACCATGTGTAACTCCCGTTCGCCGACGCGATCACGAAATTTTTTACAAAGAAAATAAAAGCCCGGCCCGGATCAGACCCCTGACGTGTTTGAATAGAAATCTATTTTTTCTTACGCATTATATCACAATAAAAACAGTTCAATATTAAAAAGAATACAATAAAATATGAAAATATTTAAGTATTTATAATTTAAAACTAAACTTTATCTGTAAAATTTGAATATATTTAGTAAAAGGTCATGCTGACCTAGTTTTTCGACCGGCAACGTTTCGAGAGAAAACTACAGAAAATTGCGATAAAAACGCTAATAAGAACTGATTATCCGATTTAAAATGTCCAAACTATCTGCTAAATATATAATTCGATTAGTCTTTACAGTTATGGGTATACTTTATCACACTGTGTTTCTTTTTTCTTCATTTACGGGTCGTAATTTGCTAAAAATAAGTCTAAAATAGGTTGTCTATTTTTAATCTCGGCCCGATTTTAATCCTGAAATCGTGCATTTTTATTAACGTTTTTCAGCGATCTAACACTAAATTATTTCACTGAGAATGTTTCTTTTTAAATGTAGATTAACTGTAGTTACAAATAAATAACTTTTTCTATATATCTGTTAAGTTTTAGTAATTCTTTGTCAATTAAAAAAAACTGACTTAAAGCCGTGTTGAGGTATAAAATGTTCACCCCCACCTTATTTTCTCAAATCTGGACATTTAACTGCATGATTTATAGCACTCAATTTAATTTACATAATTAGGTAACATTTTCCCCTTTAAATCGATATAAAGGTGATTATTGTGCATGCAATAGAAGAGTTTTAGTGGTTTTGTGAAAGTTGGTGATTTTTTAGTTTTTTTTCGCCCTGTCAAATTTTTGGTAAATATGGTGTAGTACGATTTTTAAGACAAAAAACGTTTATCTTTAACTTGTTATACTAGTTTGAAAAAAATTGAGACTACAATCTATCTACTCTTTTATTGGAATTAAGTTAGAGAATGGGTATAGCTGCTATAGTTTTTGAGATAATCGGTGCTAAAGTCGGGTCCTCATGAGGCCGTAAAAGGTAAAAAAAAACGCGTGTTTCTTAAGCGCATAACTTTTTTTCTAATTGTCCCACAGACATAAAGTTGGTATCCATGTTCTTAGAATTATTAGTACTATGCAGAAAAACCAAAGCCATTATTGTGTGACTGATTTGAAAAATCCGTTTGGAGTACCTACTAATTGCACTGTTATTTGAATGTTTTATACAGAAACATTATAATTGGTAGCAAATATGTCCATTTATAAGTCCATTTATATCTAACTTTGATCCATTGAATTACCCACAATGGGATATGAGCAATTAAAAGCAACCCGTCATGTAGGCGGCCATTTTTATGTTGCCGGGACAAGCAAAGCCTCCTCCCGACTTAGCGTCTTTTTAAAACAATGTTTATTTTTTTTTCAGAAAAAAATGATTTGAAATTGAATGGGATAGGCTACAGAACATATATTTTTTATAAAAAATGCTATTTTCTTTACTAAATAAATTTTTTTTTGGGGTAGTCGTAAGGAGGATGAAAATTTACATGTTTTGCCTGGAAACGATTACCTATAGTAAACCATACCAGAGTAATTATTCAAGCATTTTATTGAGAAGAGTTATCTCCCCTACTATTTTTTCCCCATTGTTATAAATTATATTATTTTTGTCATTTAAAAACAAATACACACTGAAACACAAAACTAAACACATAAAATATTAATAGTACAAGATTATTTATTCAACTGAGCAAAAAATGACTTAGTCGGATGGAGGAAAGACCAGTCGTTTGGAGGCAAAACCGGGAAAATTGTTGTCGGGTCCAGGACGACTGGGTAGTCTGTTTCGGGGGCATATATTTAAAAGTTATATTGCGAATGGAAAAAAGGGAATACATATTTTTATTCTTCTTTGGATGGAGAGTATTTCTATGCTTTGGTTTTCATTCTATGTCAAATACTGAAATAGTAACGAAATTAGGTGTCTCGAACCGGAAAGGAGTCTCCGTTTCGGGCTAAGGGTGTCCGGGCCTGGTAAAGTTACTCTAGATACCTTTGTCCGATAATAGACTATTTCATAAAATAGGTGTGTTGGGTTGTTAGTAGTATTGTAATCTCGACTAATTTTATGGTTAGAAATTAGGGTTAGGCATATGGTAGGACCAGGGTTAGCGTTAGGGACAGGCTTAGCATTGACATTAGCCAGCCATGTATATATTTAGTTAACTACCAGTAAATATTCTCCCGATCAAGATTTAGAAATCAAGATCTAAAATCTAGAGCTAGTAGTAAGTAGGCCCTAACAATTCTTGCTAAATTTTAATTTTGATTCATTTTTTTCAATTTAAGCAATACCAAATGAAATCTAGAGATGTAAATCTAGATAATCTATCTCTTAGTCAAACCGATTAGACTTGAGTTTAGACACTTAATTTGATAGTTCTTGATTACTTAATTTGATTACTTTTGGTAATCTATCGTTTTAGGTGCGTAAAATAGGCCAAGGCTAGTAATGTGAAAAAAAGTTGCCTCGTTTTTTTGGCTTTAATTATTAATACAAGTAGGCCTATAGTGAGATGAAAGGTTGATAATTAGGCTTCAATTAGCCTAATTATGCTGGAAAAATAGGCTGCAAATGATTGTAAATTGAAAAAACAAATCATAATTTTAATGACACAGAGCCTACTTTCTTACAGCTTGCATGCCCATAGCAATGAGGTTACGTCTAAAAAAAAATGTGTTGTTTGAGTGGGAGACGTATTTCACTCCATGTGAGCAGCTTAATTTAATTTTCACAGAAAGGCCAATCTAATATTGACACACCGTTCCCTTATGTTTTGACAACAGTCGTCTCATATATCAAAAGTTAAAATAATGTAAATTTTTATCTGAAAAACAGTTTAGCAAAAAGGTGGTAGAAACTTTGAATCTAGGAGAGCTGACAATGGGAAATCAAATTGTTCGAAAAAAAGGCACTCAGTCAAATGAGGATGAACCTTCTAGTCCAGGCTATTCCAGTACTGGTGATGTTACGTCCGATGGATCTGAAACTGATCAAACACAATTAAGTAGGAAAAAAAGTAAAAAATTCCAGACAATTGCACTAATTAAACTTTTTGAGGTAAGCATAGAAAAAGTTATTACATTAGAGCTCTCTATTACAAAGATATTTAATTAAACTAATAAGAAAATTTTAAATTTATTTAGCATTCATACTTGTTGTCTATTGAAAGATATTATTTGTTTTTATTTTTTACACAGAAACTTGAACTTACAGCAGATGGGGACAATGCTCACCCTGGAGAACTCACAAGGGCAACATTTGAGGTTAGAAATAGTTGTTACTGTCAGTGATTGCCAGGCGAAGGCGGGGGTGCGGACAGCATTAGGTGACACCATTTAGGAGGGTGACACCAAGACTAAGAAAATTTATTATGTATAGAAGAAAATGCTTTATGCTAGTTCAATTGAAAATTATAGTTAAAAAAAGTATTTTACCTACAAATTGGCTATCTCGACAAGTTATAGGCTCACTACTCAAATATAGACTCACTACGGAGAAAACACAATGCTACATCCAGCTATATTAATAACCGACTATGGATAAACATCATTATTATTAACTTTGCACACTTTAAAGCTATCAACCGAGCGGGGGTGGGTGGTGAAACCAACTGCTAAATTTACAGAGGAAATAAAAGTTTAATTGAATATTTTCAATAACTTATAAGTCAGGCAAGTGCTGTGTTTAGTTTAAGTTATGCTCATTGATCATACGTTTTATTCTTCCAGGATGCTTTTCATGGGCCTTTGTCCAAATTTGGAAAATTAATGTATTTACAAATGACAACCAACAGCTCAACAACAAATAGAGAAAGAATTACCAAAGAACAGTTTGTGAAGGCTGGGCGAGAAATCCTAAAAATGTTTGATGAGAAAGTCATTGTCAAATATTACTTTTATTTATTTGCTTCTTCTAGGGATCAAATGAACAAAGAAGGTAACTGGTTTTTTTTTTTACAGAACACTCGCTTAATTAATTTACTCACCTTTTTTCTGTTATTTATCAAAGTATTGACTAGTTTTGTGGAAAATATTTTCTTTGGTACGGTTTTTCTAAAAACTTAGTATTCTTTACTTTGTTGTCTACTCTTTAGTTTTATTATTGCTATTTATCATCTTAAAAGGTTGTGTTAATTACCTGATTGTCATGGTTCTCCCTTTCTCAAATTTTACAAAGTAATTTTATGCCCTCAAGGATAATTAAAACAATTTACAGACACTAGCTTGTGCTCTGAGATGGAATTTATGTTGGCAATTAAATCCATGTTTTAATTTTCATCTATCCTCAGAGGCAAGACAGATGTTTGAAATATCTTTTGCACTTACATTGTCCCTCTCTAAAATTTTGTACCAAGAAGATGAACGAGATCCCCGTGTATTTACAGCAATGGTGACTGGTTTGGTAAGTTTTTAATCATGTTTTATAACTGATAATCGCTTATCATTACAAGTTCACTCATTAAATTTTTGCTAGTGATTTTAAATTTATAACACTAGTTATGAACCTTAATTAAAATTATAGTTTGAAATATTATTTTCTTTTCTCAGTAATGCTTATGTTGCAAATGCAAAGACATACAAAGATAAATTACTGCAACAGTAGAATTTTGACTTAATTAAACAATACATGATTTTCTCTTCAATTATAAAGAAAGTTGACTGTTTACTCCTTGTAGTTTGGAATCAACAATGAAATAAACTTTGATGAATTCAACAAATGGTTAACTGAATCCTGTCCACACCTTTTTCACTGTGTCCATAACTGGGTTTGTCAAATTTTGACAGGCTCTTCTCTTCCATCAGAAATGGTTAGATATTACTTTTATTAATTAAACTTTTGTTATATTTTACAGTAATTTTTTTTCTTAAAAAGTATTATTTAAAATATTTATTACGAAATGTAGCTTTGAAACACTATATCAGTGTTTTTACAAGTATTGTATGTTAAAAACATTTATTGCTGTTGAATGTTTAACAGCCTTACATTTTCTTAACTAAATATCTATTATTATTTGTTTTTTGCCAGTTGTTATGATTTATTGCTTTAAAATTTACACTTGTGGCGTTAATGAGATTAGTTGGTTTAGAAATAAATATATGTCATTGTTTCAGGAAATGGCACGTGTCCCTCACCTTGAAGGCCTAACAGCTGGTAACAATTGTACATCCATGGCAATACTGTGGCTGTTGTCGCTGACTCTGCCTCCTGTTTATACAAAACAGCCAGAGCCTTACAGACCTGATGGGGCCTCAGCATCTTCAGCCACCAAAGACCCCATGTGGACATCATTATTGTTATTAAGAAAAATTGCAAGTTATTTGTTTGTATTTGCTTATTTAAATTTATAATCAATTTCATTTTATTAAGTTTATTAGCTATTCTAGCAACAAATTATTTGTATTATAAGTTAAGAACAAAAATTTAGGTTTTAAATTTTATATTAGTATTTTTAGGTTTGCATGGCTCCTTTTCAAATGTCTAGACCAGGGGTCTCCAAACTACGGCCCGCGGGCCGGATGCGGCCCTCGAGGTCTTCTGATCCGGCCCGCGAAGATCTTTTTTTCCACGAAAAAAATGAATGTTGAAGGTTCAAAGAAGGGCGGGTGGGTTTATTACTATTTACCCAAGGAAGACTTTCCTAATATTAAAACTTTTGCATCAAAATACTTTCCAAATTTTAGGACAACATACAACCTTTATCAAGAATGAAGTAGGCCTACATGAAGAACAATTTTAGAACAAACTTGGACCTCAAATGTGTGTTGTCGGTCCCCGACAGTGTTTCTTTCAGACGTTTATCTCGGGTGGGGGGCACTTGAAATGTGTATGTATATATATATATATATATATATATATATATATATATATATATATATATATATATATATATATATATATATAAATATACCCATTATAATTCCGTTGGGGGGGGGGAGGGGCGCCGCCACCCCAAAGAGATGCCTGGAAGAAACTCTGGCCCCCGAACTTATATTTGATAGTTAATGCGGCCCTCGGGCTGAAAAGTTTGGAGACCCCTGGTCTAGACTATTAGCATTCACTGTTTGAAACAATGTCAGTGTTTCTCCCAAATAAATGTCAAAAAGAAGTGTTAGAATGTATGTTTTAGTGGGTTTTTGGGCACTACTTTAAATAATCTGGGTTTTTTTTTCTTTTTTACTGGATTTAAAGTTTGGGTTGCCCCTAATTTTATTTTCGTAATTCTCTTGTAGGCTAGATTACCAGAGGTTAACAGTTGGAAACTGTTGTACAATTCTGATAACCATGGGATGTCAATTAACAGGTAAAAAAAAATCAAGTAGTATAAATGTATCTGCTTTAATAAAATGTCAGGTTAAAATAAAAGATTTACTGTAAAAATAAGATTCTTCTTATAAATAGATTTTTTATCAAAGAAAAAGGTTTTAGATAATCATTAATAAAAAGGTTCCTTTAATTACATTTTAAAAGAGTTCATTTTCTATTAAAGATTCAACAACCATGTGTCATCATACCATGCACCCACAGTAACATTTTTTGCTTTTGAGGGTAGAAATCTCTACTGCCTTGCCATCGACAGAGGATGGTCGTAAGTAGTATTGTGGGAAAAGACGCTAATTTTTAAAAATTTCAGATTTTTATCTTTCGTAATGGAATAAATTTATTTTTCTTCAATTCTTTTTACTTTAGTATTGATTCTTATTTTAAAACATTTACTTGTATAGACCTAATTTAATTACAAGATGTTTACCAATTTATAAATCACATATTTTTGCTCCTTAGGGAGGGGCCAAATAAATTTGGTGGTGTAGACTGCCGGTTGATACAGCTGTTACCTGTATTTAGAGTTACTCAAGGTATGTCGCATGTTAGTAACACAAACTGTACAATTTGGTTGAAGGCTTATAATAATTAGCAGTATTTTATATAATTTATATAACCACATTTGAATTTCCTAATTATGGCCTTTTTCTTTAAAATGAATAGATACGACTAAGCTAGTGTGAATTCCTTGAATAAAAATACTTAAACTTTGCAGTCAATGTTCCCTCTAAGGACCAAGAGTGTGTGTGCAAAAAATATGTTGTGTGCGCAGTGCTAAAAATGACTTGGGCAAGCTTATATGTATTTTTAGTCTTGCAATTAAGCATAATAATGAAGGCATGCATTTTGATAAATTAATAGTATAATGTGTGTGACTAATGAAACATATGTAATTAAATGGAGATAAGAATACCATCAAAATAAAAATAAAAACTAATAAAAACTTTCAGAGTTATACTTAGACAACAAGCTATATGGTCGACTTACTATGTTAAAGTAAGACAGTCATATGGTAATAATGCTAATACCATAACGGTAATACAAACACAATAGTTAAACATATGCAACATTTAATAAAGCTGACTTAAAAACAAATATTAGCTAACCTTTCAGGGGCATTTATTGCAATTTCTCGCGTCTAACCTTGCATTGCTTCCACACCTTATATGCTTTGTTTAAATCCACATCCTCTCCAGCATTTAGATATAATTTAATTTGCATTAGATTCTCCAAATGTGTGGCTTCAAGTCTATTTTGTGCTTGCACTTTTATTATGTTAATACGGCTAAAACCTTGTTCGTAATCAGCACTGCATGCTTGGAAGGTACAATAGTGTCACTTAACTTTGCCAGTGAGCTAAATTTTGTTCTTTGTTTTGACAAATCTTGATATTCAGACATATAATTTACAGAAACAGATTTGAGTTTTTCGCTTTATTGAAATTTGAAGTCGTTGTATTGGGTGGTAATTAACTGATCATTTGTTGTACGTAACCCGTCTTTGTACTTTACGCACAGTTCTTTGATATCTTTGACGCCAAACTCAAATGCACATTTTTTAAACCTGTAGAATAAAAAAAGATGACCAAAACTGCAGTTCATCTCCTGGAAACCTAACATTTAAATGGTCGCAGACTGATTGTATGTACTGTGTGGTTTGCCTTGTATCGATTCTTTCATTTAACTCACAGTTTTCTTGCCTTTAATGTTCAGTGTAGTGCTGTGTTACGGCTGTCTCCAGAGCTAAGGCATCACTTACAGTAAGCTAAAAAATTTTTTTTTTGAATACAGAATTGACTGGACGAAATTTAAAATAAAGGATTAGCATTTTATGTACTGTTATGCCATCAACTATAAGCGTGTGGAATGATGCTGCTCGAAGTTCTGTCAGTATGTTCTTTACAACAACCTCGCTGATTACTTGAACAAACTCAAAGGCGTATTCCTTACTTCGCCAACTGTCTGGTATAGAAACATACTTCTCCATGTGGTTATGAATCAGTTGTACAGACAGCATCGAGGCGTTCATCCTTATGGTAAGAAGAACATTATCCGTTAGGATTCGAACTTGATCCTATTTGACCGCTGGTGCTCATTTTGTTCAATTAGTTCTCCTCGCTCAGTGTAAGTTTATACCAGCAGACGTTTAAGGACAGTTCCATGTGAGCGGTTGTACACAATCGCAACATTTTCTACGTGAACACGAGACAATAAATGACGTTTACAGTAGTCAAGCGCCGATGATTCCCAGAGCTTTCCTGTGACCAATTCGTTGCTCTTGTTGGTTTTGTTACAAGTAGTAGCAGCACAGAACTTACACTTCAGTCCAATCTCATCTGAATATTCGTAGATGCTTTCTAATTCAACCGAAACATTCTTTGATCTGGCGTATCGGTTGTTACTTTAACTTTGAGCCATTCCAGTTTAAACGAATCTATCGCTTTTTTTTTGTGCCACATTGTTGTACTGCTTGTTACACATTTTTCTTTTCAACATTTTCAAATAGCACAGAGTAGTAAACTTTTATTCCTTATTTACCAAACCAGTCAGTGAACACTGAAACAGTTCGATCCAGGTGCACGTAATAATCCCAAGAACTGGATATATAGTATATAAATCCTTAAACCAAACAAAGCAAAAACACATCCACCTTTAGTAAAGTAGATTTTGCATCTGACTTGGGTAAACCGTCATAGTATCAGGAGTTGGGTGGGGGTTGGGAGATGGGGGAGGGCAGTGACAATAGAAAATAAAACCTTGCATGGTCAGCTAGTAGCCGCAATCCCTTTCAGGTGTTCAGTGTCAGCTGTGGTCAGTTTTGGGGTAAACCATTAAATCAAGCAGAGGGAGGGTCACCCAGACATCACATCGGAACCCGCCCGCTCAATTTAGAATTGTCATTAACTGGACCTGTGGTATGACAACCGAGGTCACCCCCTCCCCCAAGTCAATGATACCCTTTGGTTTCTGTTTATGCCCCAAAACACAAAGACTGTTCGTTTAACAAAACAGGCACTAAAAATGTAGCTTAATTCAAGCCACTGACCACAATTTTTCTAGTCCCGATGTTCTGATAATCCGTGTGCGGGGTCAGAAAATGTCTAAGTGGCACATTTGAAAGTACTGCGCTGCCGCGCAGCTTAGAGGGAACACTATTTGCAGTAAATGATTACAACTGTTTTGTATGAATGACTACTTTATAAAATAAATATTTTCAGCTGGTGAGCAAATGGTGAGATGGTCAGAACTAGCAAGAGACATTCCTAAAGGAATTACTATTGGATGCAATGGCAAAACACAAGTTCTGCGATTATCCAATGAATTTGACAAAATTTTTCACTATGAGGTTCCTTGTGAACTCCACAAAATTGAGGTATGGAAATGTCAATAATGGAACTGATTGTTTTATATTTGTAAAAAAATTTTCACTTAAAAGCTTTTGTAAAAACTGAGAACAAAAATGCTATGGTTAGCTGCTGCCTTTGATAAATGCTTTTTTTTAAAAACTTAATTCATACATAACTCAGGGATGTGACTTTTCCGAATTTTAGCGGAAATCCGATTTTTCCGTTTCAGTTGGGTTTTTCCTCCGCTGATTTAATTTTCGCCGAATTTTTCCGCCGACTTTCCATTTTTTGGCGATTTTTTTACGAAGTCTTAAAAATTAGGAAAAAAAACGGAAATGTCTTCTGCGGACAGGGCCGACATGCTCATTCCACTTATTCGTATTTAAATTTAAATCGACAACTACTGTACTTAGGTCAAACTCGAATAGTCGATTGGTCGATTGCGCTAGGTCTGACGGTGCTAGATCAAGATTAAATGTAGATTAAGATTCGGAATTTCGGCGGACTTACGAATTTTTCAAAGCACAATTTTTTAGTCCAAATTTTCCGCTGATATTTTCAGTTAATTATTTATAAAAATAAACCGGGAGTGATCTCCCCTAAACTTTCTCGAATATTCTTATATAAAATAACAGGGGATGGGAACACGGGCTATAGACATGATTTTTAATCCATTTTAAATACTTAAAGTTTTAAAAATAGAATAAAATCTCGTAGACAAATTAATTGCACACCAAGTGAACGCCCAATAAAAAAGCGCATAATAGTGCGCAATATTATTAGTACTTTTAAAATTTACATTAGTTTTTTGAGAAATCGGAAGTAGCGTAAATTACTACTTCCAGTCAACGGAAATTACTCAAAATTTAACAGAAGGTAGAGAATTAGATCTTTTACTTACATGTTAAATTTTATTTATCTATCTGAAATAGTACTCAAGTTATAGGCTTTTGAAAAATTCAAAGTAGGAAAAGTACCACTTCCGGTTATCGGAAATCGCTCAAAAGTTGATATGGATCTACGATTTTGATAAAATACTTATATATGAAATTTCATCAACCTAGCTGTAACGGTACTCAAGTTATCGTGTTTACACACGGACAGACAGACAGACACACAGACAGACACACAGACATACGGACAAGATTGCAAAATTATGTTTTTCCGTATCAGTGAGGTGTAAAACGTCGAGATTTGTAAAAATCTCGATTTTTTTTTTTTGCACTATTTCAAGACTTTCTCTATACTTCGTATAATACGAGAAAGTAAAAACACGGGAATAGGTAATCTAAAATAATGCAGTTATTCAAATGAAACTTAAATCTCTTAAGCCTGGTAATCTAGCTATTTGATATAGCCTAATTTATCTATCGGTATTTTAAACCGCCTAAATCTACAGTTTCTCTCTGATTCTATTTTATTTCGCAATCTCAAATTAATATTGAAATCCTTGCAAAAGGTGACTATGAGGACTAGACTAACCCGCCCCACTTCGTAGCAACGGTGGCTCTTGTGACCTCACCTTGACCCCAAGTACATGTTCGGTACTGCGTGTGGGAAAAAAAATGACGTCACAGTCAATTTCAAATAGCTGTTCCTGCAATGCGTATGCTTCGTAGGCCTAAATATTAAAAAAAAATACTACACTCACAACGTGACTACGACCATGTCTTGTTTGTGGAAGAAAAAATACGTACAGACTGTTTTTAAATTTTTAATAAGGGGTCTTCCATAAATAACGTCACACTTTTAAGATAGTGTAACGTCATATTTTTGTATTTTAAAAAAGTAATGTTCGAAACAGCTGCATTTTAGCCGCTATTACGCGTTTTGAAAAACTGTTGTAAAACATTGTAATAGAGCTTGAATAAAATACCCTTTGTTGGTCGACCTCAGTCAATATTTCAGAAAAAAAATCGATGTTTAAAAAAAATTCAATTCGAGGAGGGGGGGGGGGGGGGGGGGGCATTTGTTGGCTGAGGTGTGACGTCATTATATGGGGGTAGGGGGAGTCTGGCTTTTGTAGGAGAGAGGGGAGGTAAATATCGTCAAAAAAAACTTGGATGACCCCTAACAATTTACAGCTATCCTAAAAAAACATAAATATCGATGTGGCTTGGCTATCAAAATGATTAACTTTGGTTCACACATCAGACCCCTTCTAATTTTAGCTAACCTGGTCCATTTCATTTTTCCATCACATGAACCTAAAACTTTCAAATCATAACTAATCTAAATCTATGTTCTTTACAGTTGAAGACAAATATTTTTACCAATCCAATCTTTAAAAGAATATAAGGCATTAGGCCCCCTATTTAAAATTGAAAACAGGAGTACATCTAGAATGTACACTAGATTAGTACAGTTTAAATGAGCTTAATGGTAAAAAAAAACTTAATTGCTACTTTTGTTGTAATTTTTAAAAAGTTGTTTATAAGGTAAACATTAAATTGCAATTAGACAAGACTTTCAATGTTATTTTAGAGTAACATAAACTTCTTGTATTTAAAATATTAACTTCATTAAACAATTAATTAGTACAGTAACAGTACTATGAAGCTGCTTAACTGCGATAAAAAGTAGATAAAACATATTGAGTTATTATCTGAAGAAAATTTCCTAATTTTTTCTCCTGGTCTGGTCACATCCCTGATAACTGTATACATTAATTAAATTAACCTTTTTTAAATATACATATCCTTTGTCTGCAAACATTTTGAGTTAACATTTTTAGAAAGTTAACGAAGTTTGTATAATTACAAAATACCTATTTGTAAACAGGTCTGGGGATGCGGCACAGAAAATGCATTAAAAGCGCAGGAAAATCAAAGAAAATGGGAGGCGTCAGCCATTAGAAAAGAACAGTCACGAAAGGTAATTTTCAAAAGACTTTAATTCTAGTATTTTAATATACATAGCAGATTTTTTAAAAAATCTAATTATTTTACTTAATATATTTATATTACTTATTTCAATAAATTGTTGCAATTTAAAACTTATCACCATATATTTACGATGCTTGTGATTCCTTGTACAAAACCTGTGCTGTATCAGTATACTCTTGTTTACTGCAGCTGAGGCCTCAGGCATATGGTGAAACATGGGATGATAGCCCAGACAAACAGATTCTACAATGGGGTGGTGTTGATGTTGGAAACCATTCTTATAACCGATGAAGGCTTAGTTTCTACTCTTTTTTTTTTTCAATAAATTTTATCAGTCATATGCATTTTTTTTTACTGCCCATACTATCTTAGGCTTTCAAGACTTTGCTGTAATTAATTTACTTGCTAGATGACCTATGGTTGGATGATGGTATGGTATCTAATTAAAGTTTACTTCATTAAGCCTTGGGGTTGAATTTAAAACAGCTGATACTGTTGATAAACATTTTACTTTTGGCAATATTTGTAAATTTAATTTATTCTTTTAAATAAATGCTGAATATGAGAGACCTATTGTGAACCCTTTACTATCCAAGAATTAGGTCAGGCTTAGTAATATGGTGACATTCTTTGCAAACATATCCACATGCTTTTATAAGTAAAACAAAAAAACATATACAGGAAATAGTTTTATTATGTTTGAGTGTAAATAGCAAAATGATTGGCCAGTAATAAAAAAAACGTATATCTATTATCAAGCTCAGAAAATTGTTTTTTAAATCATGGAATTACTTTATTTTCCTATTGCTATTCTATTAACATAAACTACCCTGGATTCAGCATGAGAAGCATTTTAATTTCACTAATTATACTGCCCCTACATTTTCGACACTTCTAAAATTTGTAGTAAATTAACAGCTTCAGATAGAACAAGAAAAATTAGTAAATGAAATCTATTTTTTCCAGCTTCTGCCAATATCTTAAATTTCTCATAACCATTTAACCTTCCATTACTACATGAAAACAAGTGTAATATACACAGTACTAGTGATTAGAATGGCACTGAGCACCCAAAATCTCTGTGGAAGTGATAGTAAAGGGTAAATTATGCAAAACCTACTGTTACTTTAACTTGATTATGAATAAATAAAGCTGTTTTGATTTTATTCTAATTGCATGTCTTGATTAAAGCATTAAATCAAAATTATACATACATTCAAGGGAGGCAACTACTTTAATCAGGGAGGCAACTACTTAAATCTTAAAAGTCAATCTGTAGGTTTTGCAAGATTTCTCCTGCAGACTGTTTTAGTTGCAATCCTTGTTACAAAATTTAGAACCACATTTTTCTTCAAACCACATCTGTAAATGTATTTTTGATAGCAGATATTGTGATAATGTAAACAGTTAAAGAGTAAGCCAGTAATTGTGTTTATATACAGCACAGATTCTTTGTATAATGTCAGATTTTTATTTTCAAATGGATGAATATTTGTTTCATACCGGTAGTTTCTAATAAAATTATATCTGTAGTGGCAGTCTCAATGCTACCCATTTATATGTAAAATAAATACATGTATAAAGTTTATAGATCTACATTGTAAACCTGTGTGCTCTGTTAATGAACTGGGGACATTTTTGCAGTTGCATTTGTAATCTAGGACAGTCATTTTAACTGATTTTTTTATACAGGGTTGTTATCTCATCTGATGATTGACAACTTCAATTCTTAGTTGCGCTAAGTGTTCTATGTCAAATGCATTTTTTAAATATTCAGCATTTTAACTATCTCAGCATTCCATGAAGCATGTTGAAGTTTTGTTCTTTTTACAATATTTGTTCTGATGCTATGTGGTAAATTGTGATCAAGCTAGATAAAAGTAGGATAGTTATGGTAAAAACTTGATCGTGAAAGGTGTAATTCTTTTATGGTATCTGTCATGCTGTCTTTTTTCTACCTCAAAAAAGAAGACGGACTAAATTGTATTAAATAACTATATTACATTTGTTCATAAATTTTTATCCACTTTCATCTGTTTATAAACAGCTGTATAAGGAATCTTGAAATTAAACAATTTTCAAATACATTATATTGACTTCATGAGCAAAAATAACAGAAAGTAACATTTTAATTGCTAACTAACTTTTCATATTTAGATTATACTGTTTTACATTCATACACATTTTCCCTTGAGTAGTACGAAGAGCATGATAGAAAAAAAAATGTACAAAAGAAGCTAATCTAAAAAAAATTACTCAAATTCATTGGTTAAGTTGTAAATGTAATGTGACCTAACTTTTAAACAGATGAATATACATTTTTTTTTCTCTTTTGATGTTTTAAAAGTTCTCATAATGTAAATATTTTTTTAATGGATGCCTATTTGATTATACTAGAATTCTAGTTAATATAAAATATACATTTGCAATAAATAACATACAACTACCCACCGGCTAATATGTATTGGGTATAGAGGCAGGATGGTTATTAAAAAGTTAAGACACTTTATAAAATAAATTGAATGCTAATCATTCACATAATAAAAAATAATCTAACCTGACCAATATTTAATACCTATCTAATAATTATGTTTTGACATGCTCATTAAAACTCTTTTTGCCGATGACTGCTCTGTTGATTTGAACAAGCATGGCAATATTTTTTTAAAAATCATTCCACTAAGTGTAATCTATTCATTTTGTACTCTAGATATTTTATAATCATTTACTAAAAAAAATTAAGAGAAAATGAATTACATTCCAAGTAACTTTTTTAAATTAGAAGTGGAAAATCTGAGAAAGCAACAGCAGTTGATTGTGGGATACCATCTACTTTGTTCCAAGTGATAATGTAAGCTATAAAATTATATGCTTTCCACTTTATATATTTCTTAGATATAACTTTATACTCACATTTTCTGAAAAGTCACAGAACTGATCATTTTATAATTTGAAGTTTATTCAAGTTAGTGGATTGGTGAAGTGTTGAATTTTATAAAAATAGTTTCAGTTTCTTTTTTAATGTAACATTTAAAAATAACACTTTAAAACTGGGTTTATTGTATCGCAGAAAATAATAATCAAGTGCCTTAAATAGTAAAAAAAAAATTAACATGAATATTGTCATTTATGATTGTTTTAGTTTTTGTGATAGCCATAATAATGCAGGTAATGCATGTCACATGCTTAATATCACTTGACAAAACTGTGAGTACGGCTTAATGGTAATGGTAAATTTTACCTTATTTAATATATCTGTGTGTATCAATAAATAAGCTAGAGCTCTAAAATTATATTTAAATATTGTTAAAATAATCCCTTTTTTAATAAAATAAATGATAGCAAAAGATTTAGGTTGGAAAACCAAACTTTCTTGATTTAATTACAGAAAGATATTCTGACACGAATTAGTAAATATCACTGACATTTAGTTAACTAGTCAATTTTTTAAAATCTGTGATTTATGTATGATTTTTATTAGAACTACTAGAATCAAAACTTGTGCATCACAGATTCAAATATAAAGCTTATTTAATTAATCTTTAAAAAAATAAGTACTCAGTAGATGAATCCATGACATATTTTATGAAACTGCAATTTGTTCTATATTTAATATTGATATTGTACACTATTTTTAGAATTTTCTTGGTCATTAAATTTCTTTTGGTCATGCAATGGGGGACCATTAATTAAAAACATTTAAGTTGTGTGGGTTTTTTTTAAAGGCATTCATGATATTTCTAATATCAGGTTTTTTTTCAATCTAAAATAGCAAATGTTTGGTGGTGGTTGTTTGGTTATTTGGCTATTGCAAGCAAAAAAAATAACTGAATTATGGGTTATTCATTTTTTTCAATTTACCACTTGGTTTTGTCTTTCAAATTCCACATTGGAGTGATTTTTTTTCTTTTTTTCCCTTGTCATAATTATACCAATGCTTTTATAAAATAAATTTACACTATACTTATAAAAGTTTTTACAAAAGTTGTGAAAGAATAAATATAACAGTTTTGCATCATTTGTACTTGGAAGAAACATGTATCAGTTTAAGTATAATGCAATAATTTTCAATTGGCTTATTTTATTTAAATAATCAATTGTTTCCAGTGTCTTAATTTCTGTCAAAAATGTTCTGTTTTGATGCCTAATTTGAAATGTTTTAATTCAAATTATTGTAAGTTCAGAAATGTTATGTTTTCCAAAATCTTAGAAAAAAAATTTTTAACAGTAAATTTTTCATGTTATTAGTTTTAAAGGGAAGTGTTGATGCCCTATGTTAGTTGGGGATCAAAATATTGCCTGGATAAAACAAAAGTGGTAGTGACACAATTTTAAAATATTCCAGATATCTTTAAAGAGGATTTTAAAAATATTTTTTAGTTTAAATTAATATTGATTTCAAAGATCTGAAAGTAGTCAGCAAAACTAATTGTTGAAAGTATAAAGGTTGTGTATAAAAATGTAGTTTTCTTTTGTAACCAAGCAGCTTATAATGACAATAAATTTGTTTTCCATTACAGTATATTTGCTTTCATTTATTTTCAGGTTTAGGCTTTCATATTTACACCAACACTCTAAAATAATCCATCTTGCCATACATGTGTGATACTTTACTTTTGTTCATAATCTACTATACAGCTTTTTAGAAAAACATTCTTAAAGTAAATTTTAAAAGTATTAGAGATTTTATATATATAGAGTAACAGTTTACATACAACAAATACATTGTTTGGATTTTATATTACATTAATTTAATCAAATTAACATACCAGAATCACAGAATATGTAAAGTGATGGCACATAAGCAGATATGTAGTAAATTGTTTTTATGTAAGAATGTAGTTTACACAGTTAATCCACTAACCAACCAAATTGGCAATTAGCCTTTTAAGGAATATTTTGATTTTAAAACATACAGTTTCAATGCACAATGGCACAACCTTGAAATGTGAGGGCAAGCTTAAGAAGGTCATCCCCTTCTTTTTCCCTCTGGCCCCCAGGACTAAATTCCTCGGAAAGCTCCCTGAAGGTCATGGCTATTCTTTTATCAAGTATGTCAGCTTCTTTTATGGAGTGCTTCCATTTATATCTGGCATCTGCAGCTACAATGATCAGCGACCTCCTCAAAAGTGGAACACGCACCTCTGTCTGAGGTTCTGAGTCTATGGTAAAGGTCAAAGTTGAATCAGACATAAGGTTTAATGTGACCAGGCGCTCCCCCCACAGCCAAGAGTCATCAAAGTGTGGGTCAATGTGGGCCCCTCTCTCGTTGCTGTACTCCAAGTTGCACAGTTCCACTGGCTTAAAATTGTTGAGGCTGGGCAATGTTTTTATACGCTCATACAGAAAACTGCTGTATGCTGGTAGGCCACTAAAACTGGCAACTTTAACTTTCTGTCTCTTGAAATTGACTTTTGGCCCAAAATCCTAGTAGAAATAAATCCAGGAATTATTTGAAGCAAATTGTTATATATATATATATATATATATATATATATATATATATATATATATATATATATATATATATATATATATATAATGAAAGTATGTGTCTGGGGGTGTCTATAATGCATTTCTACACCTTTCATCAGATCGCCATGAAACTTTATAAAGTTGTTGAGAATACTCCTGTGAAGTTTTCTACAATTAAATAAAAAAAAGTTTAATATCTGCCCCACCCAAAATCTTTTGAATAATTTAAGGTATTAATCCAGCTTAAATTATTTCCCAAAAAAATATTAACGGTTATTTCCCTTTAAGCTTTTGGAGGGAGTAGCACTTAAAATTTGTGTTGGGGGAGGGAAGTATGCTGGTTTAAGTATATAATTTCCATATAAATTTTATATTTATTTCATTTTTTCAGGGGGGAGGGTGGTGGGTAGCTACGCTCTGAGGTGGTGTGCGGGTGCCTCTTAAAGAGATGCAAGAAAGAAACTCTGCCTGGAGGGTGACACAAGAGAGAGTGTGAAGTGTCAACTATCTTAGCCTATCATTCAGATGTCCATTTTGTATTTAAACAATTTTTTTTTACTTTTATATTAATTTATGGATTTACCTGCTTTCTTCTTCCAGATTGCGATTTTGTAAAAGCTGTTTCACCAATGATTTTGTCTAAGTATTGTTCCTCCTCTTCAGAAATAAAATCTTCTATTATTGTAATCCCATGAAAATCAATCACTGACAAAGATGAGTTATGTGAGCAAAGCTCAGTCACTGATTTATTTTCTATATGTGGGTTTTGTGTGAGAAACACACTGTTGTGAGCCTCTGTATTTGTTGCATTCTTTGTCACAGTTTCCATTTCAGCCCCTGAGAAACTTTCTTCTTTTGTGTCATTTGATATTTTGTGACTGACACCTTGCTGAGAATTGCTTCCAGCTTGCCATGCTCTTTTACAGTGACGGCAGTATTGATATGTTTTTCTAGTATTCTGGGGGTATTAAAATATCCATTTAACTTTAAAACACAACTGACAGTTAAATGCAATTAATTTAGAATGGAATGTAAAAAGTGAAACAATTTCCACAATAGGTATACCTAATTAAGAGTAGGAGTACTATCATAGATTAAAAGAAAATATTTTTTTTAAAAACACAGTACTTAAAATTTTAATGCTGTGGTTTTTGAACAAAGATTGTGCATCTTTGACAAAAAGAAACACAACCTAAAAGAACTTGTTACCGCCTTGGCAGTGAAATTTTTAAAATTAAATCCTAGGTGTTTTAGTGATTTATAAGAATCTACTAAGTATTATTAACAGCAAAATAACTAACATTCTTATTGGTTGAAAAGGAATTCTCAAATCGATCATCATCTGACAATTCACAAAGACGACAAGACCTTATTCCTTTACATCCACATTCACGGGGTTTTGGACCTTTAATCTGTGTTGTCTGTGAAACAATATTACTGTCCATCATTGACCTAAGAATAAAAAAAATTGAAAGTAAAAATTCTAAATAAATTGTTGTTTTACGAACATTTTACTTCATTAAATTGAGAGATAATTAATAATATACCACGTCCACACTGTCCGAAAGTGCCAGACTGAATGATCAATGATTTCTAGACCAGACTAGAGTAGAGGTAATTTATTAGCCAATTCTAGTCGGAAAACAATATGCATGAGCAATGGAAACAAATTACCACCTTCATTAGCGGCAATGTTTTCCATGGTACTGCGCATGAGTGTGTTTACAAACAAACCACAGAACCCTAACCCTAGCGCAATTATTAAGGTAAATGTGCATGCGCAGAACCATTGTGTTTCGTATTTTCTGACGAAACATCTTTTTCCGAGTAGTTACTTTGTTTTTAAATAGGCTTGTGAAATATTAGGCCTAGGTATTTAATATTTATTAAATTTTTATGGATAATCCTTAGAAAAGGCTGGGGCAGGGGTTGCGGACTGCACCGGATGACACCATTTAGGTAAAAAATTGCAAAATGTACAGAAGAAAAATGTTTTTTTGCCAGTTCCATTAATGATTAATTAAAGTTAGTTTTTTAAAGGTGAAATTTATTTTACTCTACCCTATCAGTAGTATCAGAATTTGATAGGTAATACTAGTAATAGTCGGTAATACTAAATAAACTAATTACTTAGTAATTACATTATTCATTATATTTATAATTCATTATAACAGTAAAAAATGGTAGGACCAGGGCTGGGGTTAGGGACAGGGTTAGCATTACAATTTAGCCGAATCATTAGCCAGCCATTGTGTATACTATTTACTGAGTATTTATTATTTAATTATTTACTATATTTAATATTTAGATAACTACCAGTACCAGTAACCTAACACTAACACCCCCTTTTTAAAGAAGATTCCATTATCATATCGGATTATCAGACACAGGTGTAAAAATTCTCCCTTAATTTTAAACTGGCCTTAAACTAAACTAGATTCTAGACTATATATTATAATTATAAATTAAATAATAAATAAACACGGTAATCTTTCATTTTACGGTAATCTATCGTATCGTTTAGTTAGGCTTTGGTACGTAAAATCGCCCACGGCTAGTAGTGTCAGAAAGCGTTACCTCATTGTCAAGGCTTTAATAGAAGTATATTGTGATATATTTGTGTCAAATATTATAGATAGATAAATGAATAATAAACCTAAATCAATGGCTAAAAATATCAATATAGGCAAGAAATGAACTTTTAGCAGCAGTGTTTGCGAGCAGGATTTGCTACATAAAAAGCGGCCATCTGTAAGTTAGAGTGGCTTCCCCTGAATCTTGCGTTCAGGTTATTATCGTTTTTTTAGGGGGGGGGGTATAGTTTTTTTTAATAGAAAAGATGATATCTCACGAATGGTGTGTGTTCTTTATTTTTACAAGCTTTTATATTTATTTAACTCACTTCCTCTGTCGTCAGTCGTCAGTCTGTCTAGATCGAAACGCCGGAGCGAATTTGCAGGCACTTCTACTTGACAGATACGGTTCGTAATTGGTGCGTGGGTCAATACATGAAGACAATGCATCATGACATTAAATTTGACTTAATTGGATGCCTAATTATTTTTTATGAATTAATTAAAATTTTGACCAAATTAGTATGCAGTTCTATCCACACGCGTCATCAAGGCAAAAGCGCGTCATCGTGTAACTCTATTGTAAATAAAAACATGTAAAGTACTAAAAAAATAACAAGCTTTTAAGTTCTAATGCAATAAAAAGTAGAAAATAAATGAGTTTCTTTAAATATAGAGTAATATAATACACTACTATTTATATAACTATAAAGAAAAGCGTGGGTCGCTTCCTTAATATTAGTAAAAGTATCCAATAGATAATATAGTGACCCACGCTTTTCTTTATAGTTATATAAATAGTAGTGTATTATATTACTCTATATTAAAAGAAACTCATTTATTTTCTACTTTTTAGTGCACTAGAACATAAAAGCTTGTTATTAAAACGTTTTTTATGACTTTTTTTATCTAGTCTAATTTGATTTTATATTAAACAATCTTAACATCTTCTGACCGCCGCTCTCATTTTCTTGTCAGCGGGAGAAACATCCCGTCTTGGTAGACGGGTCAGTGCGAGTTCATAAGCAGAATATTATTTTAGACGATATTTTTAAAATCTAGAATCTATATCTAGATACTCAAAATTCTAAACATTCTGGCGTTTTCTAATCTGCGCGGAAAAAAAAAACGCCGTTTAAGGGGTCGGTATACATTTCGAACCGTCCCACTTTTACTCATTAAATCTACATCGTGACTTAATAAACGCGAACTTAATAATGATATCTTACTGTCTTGTTTTTCCTATAATAGCCCTAGCCCTACCTCCAGAGGCGTCGCGAGGCGGGGGGGGGGGATGCGGACCGCGCCGGGTAACACCAAGTAGGGGGGTGACACCAAGACAAAAAAAATATGCAAGATATAATAATAATAATTTAATATATAGGATAAATACGTGGGTTTTTTTTTTATTAGAGTAAAAAAGTATTTTAAATACAAAATTACCATCCCCACGGGGGGGGGGGGTGAGAATGGTGACACCATGACGTAAAGATGCAAACTATAGAGAAAACAATGCTACACCCAGCTGTATACTATTATGCATACAATAAAAAATGTATTTCAACTCTGCAGATGTAGCTGCGAATGTGACAAAAAGTTCAGCCTTTGTTTACAAGTTGTTGGCAGCCTCGTTTCACAGACAGTTGGCTCTCTCTTCTTCAATATCTTGCAAGTGCCATGTATTGATATCAATGCGAAGTAAGTATGAAGATATAAACCTACTTTTTGTGATAAACAATGACTTTATCTGTTAAAATCTGACAAATATGAATGTTTTATGACTTAGGGTCGAACTTATGTTTAGTGCAGTGAATGAACACGGCGAGTAGTCAAGTAGGCCTCACTATTAAATAAACAAATCTGGGTTTTTGAAGTAGAATGGCCTACCTGCTTATTGGCGTGTGTGAATGTTGCTTGGTTTTTTGAGTAGGCATGAACACCGCTTAATGAAATGACTTTGACCAAATATATATATGAGACTTTATTTTCGCGACCACACACATAAATTGACAAAGCCTGTTTTTTCTGTTTTCGCACAGAACACGTTTTTTTTTTTGCAAAAATAAAATATGAACGCTTTAAAAAGTTTGCAGAGCACCTGGCCTATCATCATCGTCCCGTTACTCGCAGACGACCAAAGCACCAAGTGTTATAAGAAAAATTGCAAGCTGGTTTGCAGACATTTTTGGCAAAACACACAAAACATGTCTACAATTTTCTCAATCTGGAAATCCATATTTTCCATTATTGCAGTTTTTCCTCATAATATAATTTATTGTCGGCGCCAAATGATTGTAATGGCATAAAATAACTCGGGCAGATGAGGCTCGTTAGCTGGGGACAGCCACTCTTCTAGGAGAGACAACTCCAAACTTAAACAACTGCTGCCTTGTAGTTTGTTGTTCTTGGTTGGATAAAGGCTATGGAAGCAAATCCAAAAATAAAAGCAGGCTGAAATCGGAGTCAATGGCCTCAATGGCGCATAACCAGTTGACACGTAACGCTTAATTGTGTTGGAGGCGTGGATGAGTCGGCAAAAAGCTCATGGTTGATAAAACGAACAAAGTCTCGAGTTCAAACCCACTGGCAGATAAATCTCGATCCCCTTCAACACTAATAATTAAGAACGAAGAAGAAGAAAAGAAAGAAGCATAAAATAAAAATAAAATCGTTAGATCTCAATTTGGGACTTTGGGGTCATCCATAAATGACGTCACACTCGGAGAGGGGAGGGGGGTCCGTAATTTTGTGACGATGTGTGGGGAGGGGGGGGGGGGGGGTTCAGATGGTGCGACGTCATACTCTTGCATTATAAAAAAGCAATGTTAGAAAACGAATTGTAGATGTTATTTCGCGTTTTAGAAAACTGTTTTACTAAATTGTAATAGGAATTAATTAAACTACTCTATTTTGACAGAGTTCAGACAAGATTTTAGAAAAATATCGATGTTTTAAAAAAATTCCACTGCAATTTTGAGGGGGGTTGTAGGCTGAGGTGTGACGTCATTTTAGGGGGGGGGTCTGGCTTTTTGTGACGACGTGTGACGGAGGGGAGGGGGGGGGGGGGAGGTAAAAATCGTCAAAAAAAACGTGACGTCATTTATGGATGACCCCTTTCACTAAACAACATACATTCAATAATTCAACATAACAAAAAAAAGTGTAATTAAAAATTGTATTATATTTGATTAGGATGATAGAGATTGTCATTTACGCTTTAATGAAAGATTTCTTGTAAAAAGCAATAATAAAATAAAATACACCAGTTCTACTACAAGTATTTCAGTAGAAATATAAATACTATAAATTACATTTTAAATACAGATACTTTGGAAGTATAGTAAAAAATACTTAAATTGACTTGAATAATAAATATATGACATTTTCCAGGTCCAAAAATAAAGAACATAAGCTCACAAATTAAAATTGTTGTTAAAAGTATAAATATATATTAGTTTATAAATATATCTTAAAAACAAAGATAGTTTTAAAAACTAGTAAGGCATTATAGTTAAAGTTTTATTCACCAACTGATGTCTAAAAAATAAATTTTATTTTACCCTAAGTTAAATTGTAGCTATATTAATTAAGTTCTAGATAAAATCATTCAAATTTAATGAGTCAACTTTTGACTATTCAAATGTTAGGTTAGTTAATTAATTAGATCTAGATTGTAAAAAATAATTTTAATTTAAAATTTAAAACACCGGGGAAAAAAAGAAACACAATTTTGTAAGCTAACACAAGTATGAGAAGATAACAAATATTTTTTAAAATCTTAATATTAAATAAAGTCTTAATTATTAGCAGTGCACTATATATTAAAATAATTATGCATACAAAAAACTATTTTTTTTAAATGAAAATTATGTTCAGTAGCAGCATAAATTATTGTGACCATAATTGGAAAGTATACATTTGTGAACACTTTATAAGCTGCAATAAGCAGTATGAAAAGTTGTAAAATTTGAAAAATATAAAGAAAATGTGTTAAGTATTTACTATTTATCACAGCTATGTTTTTGTTTCAAAATATTAATCACAAAAGTTATTTTATAAGTCGTGCTTTTTTGTAAAAATACCATTTGAATTTTTGTAGTACTTAAGATCTATATTTTAAAATGTATAATACATTTTTGTGAAAAAAAAAGAGTAAAAGTTTACATGAAAACAAAAACAGATTTTAAGGAAGTGGTAGGCACTGGCTTTATGCATAGTAAAATTATGCCAGGATTTTTATAAAACTTTAAACCAGAATAGTTTTTATATGTGCATAATTAACAGATGCATTTATACTATCTTGTCAAAACATATTTAAATAAAATTTCAGTAAAAATTAAGTTTACACATTGGTGCAAAAACCATCACCATTTTGATATCTCTGTAGGATTTTGCAAAAACAAAATGCAAAAAAAATAGTTTATGAAATACAACAGTGCATTATCTCATGAATGAGTAACATTGTGCTATTGTGCATTGAAACGGTATTTCTTATGATCAATATATACCATAAAAGCCGATTTGGTTGGTTAATGGATTATTTATGAAAACTACATGCTTACATAAATACAATTAACTCTATTACATATCTGTTTATGTGCCATCACTTCACATATTCTGTGATTCTGGTATGTGGATTTGATTAAATTAATGTAACGTAAAATCCAAACAGTGTATTTGTTGTATGTAAACTGTTACTATATATATATATATATAATATATATATATATTATATATATATATATATATATATATATATATATATATATATATATATATATATATATATATATATATATATATATATATATATGATTTTTATTAAAATCTCAAATAGTTTTAAAATTTATTTTAAGAATCATTTTTTTTTAAAGCTGTATGAGTAGATTATTAACAAAGGTAAACTATCACACATGTATGTCAAGATGGATTACATTAAGGTGTTAGTGTAAATATGGAAGCCTAAACTTTAAAATAAATGAAAGCAAATATACTGTACTGTAATGAAAACAAATTTACTGTCATTATAAGCTGCTTGGTTACAAAAGAAAACAGCATTTTTATACACAACCTTTAGATTTTCAACATACTTAGTTTTGCTGACTACTCTCAGATCTTTAAAATAAATATTTATTTAAACTAAAAAATATTTTTAAAAATCCTCTTTAAAGAGATCTGGAAGAGTAAATGGGCTTTGCCCCTACCCGAAGAGATGCATGTAAGAAACTCTGCACGCAAACCACTTTAAGAATTCGACACATGAATTAGGTGTTACTGTTAGTGTTTTTATTATAGAGTTCAATGAAGTCATTAATTTTGAGGGGGGGGGGGGGGACAAAGAGTTACACTATTGTGCATTTTTCTGGCATTGGCTTTTTAATCCAATGTTTACTCTAGATTCAATAACGTCATATTATTGTGTGTACTTTTCTGGCTTTAGACTATTTCCTACTAAATGTTCCAAGTGACGCCCCATTTCGTTTTCCATATGACGGTGAAAGTTTTTACTTTCCTTGTGTTTTCTCTACAGCATTCCCAACAGATAGATAGATAGGGAGAGAGGATGGTTCAGAAAGTGTGACGTTGCACTTCTGTACTTAAAAACCTAATACTAGAAACTGAAGAATGTAACCATGCTTTTTTGTTTCCAAATTACATTTTTTAGTAAATTACAATAAAAATTGACTAATAGGACTATGCTTTATGTTGATCGATATCATCAAATATTTTAGAAAGAAAATTTGAGGGGGGAGGCTAAGGTATTACGTCATTTTAGAGAGGGTCTGAATTTTTGAGACGATTGGGAGGGAGCGAGGTAAAAATCATTTTTAAAAAGCGTGACATTATTTATGGATTAATCTAATCATAGATGAAGTTAAGATAAAAGACACAGGCCTAGTTAATTATTTTCCACATCGGCTGTATAGCAGCAAAGTAAGATAACCTAATGAATAGGTTGAAGGTCAAGAAACCAGTACCTGCCTACCCCAAAAAGACAGCTGCCACGTTAGATAACAGTAGGAAGTTAATTCAGGTTTGGGATGACAACAATAGGGCATAAGCAATTATTATATCATACCTTTACTCAACAATACAAAAATTATAAGGGTAACACTAAAAAGTTATTTAAAAGTTCCTAATTTTTGTTACTAGAATAGTTATGCTAAAGCAGATACAAGCAAGAAAATAGTTTAAAATTGATTTTAAAATGTAAATTAACTACCGTATTTGAATGACGTTTATAAATGAATTATTTTGTTTTGGAATAGCAATCCAACTTTTTTTATGTCACATTAAGCGTAAAAAGTTTTCATTATTTCCTGATATCTTTAACAGCACTTTTAATTTGTAAGCAGTTGGAAAATAAAATAGGTCTACCATAATTAGTAAATCATTTTGAATCTTTTGAACATGCATTATTACATCAAAATTTTCAAGTTTTAATCAGTTAATGTCTAAGAATTGAAGGAAATGTTTCTAATAAAGAAACTGTTAATCACTTTTAATTTTAGTCAAGTCAATCTTCTTCATCTGCTTTCTGATCTTCAAGAGGTCAGAGTACAGGTTTCTGTTTAAAATTTGTGATGCACAAAGCAAGCCTGTGGTTAGACAAGGGGTAAAGCCACAGGTCATTGTGTCTTGACCTGTCATATGAAAATCAAAATACCAAGGGTAAATACAAAACAATATTAAAAATTGCATAGGGTAAAAATAAATTCTAAATTGTCATATATGTTCAACTTCTGATTGTTGCACTGTGGGTAAAAGGCAAATAACTAAGGAGATTAACATATAAATTTAATATACTAATTATTACTAAATTAGTATTGAGGTAGCCTCACTCTCAAATTTTTTCAGTAATTTGTGGTTGATTTTACTTTAATCAGGCAGAGGTCTAAATGGGCTTATGTTTAGGCATCCCATTAAAACTAATTACATGACTCAATTGTCTGCTTGTTTCTCCATACTCCTAATTTTTGAAGCACTTTATTCAAGTCAAACTACTGTTGTTTGTAATTATGTTGTAATAAATTTATCAATTTGCTATGTAAGAAGGCATGTAGATACAACAATAATAAAATAAAGTAATTTCCATTTCCCCAGAGTGCTTAAGAGTTGTAGGAAAACCAAAACCAAGATAACCCCTTAATTCACATGAAATAAGGGGCCAAGCAATGGATAAATTTATTATTTCAAAAGAAAACAAAAAGCTGCAACCTTACCAGTTAAAAACAAGCCTGGTATATCTGTATCAGGCCTAAGTTTGCTTGCCACATCTGCTGTAAACCTCGCTTTCCCTTGTGCTAGGCCACACATCTCCCCTTGAGGGGTTGCTAGGTAATACTGGTTGGTCACTGGCGTTCCTACTTCCATATAAACTTTCTGCAAGGGACAACAAACATTTGTAGTTAACACAAACATTTGTAGTTAACACAAACATTTGTAGTTAACACAAACATTTGTAGTTAACACAAACATTTGTAGTTAACATAAACATTTGTAGTTAACACAAACATTTGTAGTTAACATAAAAATTTGTAGCACAAACATTTGTAGTTAACATAAAAATTTGTAGTTAACATAAGCATTTGTAGTTAACACAAACATTTGTAGTTAACATAAAACAAAACCACACCTTTCCATCAAGTTGAGGAAACAGATCAACACATTGTTGCCATAGCTGACGTCCTATGATATCTTTTATTCCTTCATAACGATCTCCCCTGTGGCGCTGTTTTTCCTCTTTCCATTCCTTGAACCAATCCCAGTTGGCCAATGTAATTACTAAGACAGAACTCTTTCCTGTATGGAAAATATAATTATGATTAAGAATGTTCTATATATTTACAGTATTTTTACTTTCTGTAATTATAAATGACAGAAACTAACCAGGATATTTTTTTTCCCATTCAGGATCCTTGGCTGATGGGAAAGAAATGCAACCAAAAGGTATTTGAATGTCTTCAATTTCATCAGCTTTCAAATTAAAAAATCCTGACATGGTTTTATTGATGTCATCACTAAAAAAAAAAATTAACTTTCAAATAAGAAAGAAAGTTTTTTTTTGGTCTAAACATGACTTTACATTAAAAAGGAAAAAATAGACATCAATTAGAATGAATAGTCTTTTTAATTGAAAATTAATATATTTATAAAATATTGTACTGAATTTAAATGAAATAGATGAGGAGGGGATTGGGGAGGCAAGGGGAGAAAGTGAGAGGATACATATTATAAAATCTGCTCAATTTTCCTAATCTTGACTATGCATAATGACATTAAGACATTGCCGCTATGCTGTTTCCAAAAAGAGAATTGCATTTGGGGGTGGGGGGTGGGGGGGGGGGTGGGGTGGTGTGGGGTGGTATGTTGCAGTGTAAAATGATTTTAGGATTTGAGGAGTCTAATTGACTTTTTGTGATGATGATTAGGAGGAGGGGAACATGTCAAGATTTATGGAAGACCATATAGCAATAATGGTTCATTTTTAAAAAAACTACGTGTACAGCTTTAAAATAGTTCCTCTAGTTATCTCTTACGTATTGTAAACCCATGTGTTTCCAGCAGGCAATTTAAGCTCACTTGGGCTGCCCTCTACTCCAATAAATGCAGTAATGAAAGAACAACTGGGTCCAACTTTTTCAATCAATGGATATATACCTAAAAACAATTAAATCAAAGGCTAAATGCATCAATGGACATCTAAATTGTAATTTTCAGTCACTGGATATCTATATTTATCATGCTATGTAAATAACTATTTACTATACTGTTCCAATAACATCAAGTGACGAAAAAAGACCCTAAAAGCAAAAAAAAAATTATAACTTACAAGAAGATTTGGCAACACTTTCTGGCAACAATTTTTTGAATGTGTTTACAACACCAGCATCAGATATGATATATCTAGCAAACACATCCGTTTCATTTTTTCCAACTCTGACACCTGGAGAGATATTTGTTAAAGAATGTTGCTGACAATGGAAAGTGTTTTAATGTCTAGATGGTAGAGTGGGATTAGTTTTGACTGTTCTATATTTAAACATTTTTTTAAAATGTATGTTACATAATAGTTTTTATACAAGAAAAAAAAGAACGGCTCCTACAAATGATTGAAATACTTCTATACTTTTCAGTGAAGGACTAATCAAATTTTTTAATAATATAAATTATTTTAAAAACATGATAAATTAATTATCATGTTCTAAAGTTTAAAGTAGTTTAAAAACAACTCACCAACAGCCCTGCCCTTCCCGTCACACAAAATTTTAGTCACTGGAGCCTGGACCAGAACTCTCCCTCCCTCTTTCTCAATAGACTGGATCATGTGAAATGGAATTTCAGAGCTTCCAGCCATGGGGTAATAGGCTCCCTTCTGGTAGTGTGTGATTAATACAGCATGAAGAAAAAATGGCACGTCTTTAGGAAAAATACCTGAAGGAAAAGATTTTTTTTTGTTTGATATATGGACTACTTATAAATACAATTACAGATATTCAATTTGAATTATTTTTCTAAACATTTAAAATGACTTTTAGACATATGCAGATCATATTTAAACCTACGTATTAACACGTTTTTTTTAACCTAACTCATGTTCATACTCTATTTTCACGCTCAGCCAGATAGTGACTATACATAAACCTGGCTAGTGACTTCAGCATAAAAATCTACCAACTTTTTAATATAATAATTAAATAAACATTCACCATTATTTTAGTATTCTTACAGAACCTTGTATCAATCAATTAAAGCTTTTACTTTTCTTAAATTGAGACATAGCCCACCATATTCTCCATATATGTATGACAAAACCAGCTTGAGCTCCTTGTTGCTGGTCAGCTCATCCAGAACTTCCTGTAGTGTTTTCTCAGCGTACCTTTTCCTATAGCATCTAAATACTATTTTGTACAGGCATGTGACCACCAGGAAGCGAACCAGGAGCTTGGGTAGCACTTTCAAAATCACAATACCATAAAAAGATGAGCTTGCATCCTGAAAATATATATTAAGCACTTTTCATGATCTACTCTGAGACTTAATAAAACAAAGGTATATCCTAAGGGATTAAAACGTATTGCTTCAAACAATGAAGATAGATCTTTAGATTAACCCCTAATGGCCTAAAACCCAAATGAATAAAAAAATTTATTGCTTTTTCTGTGTTAAATCTTATAGCTGGATTAGATAATAGTACAAAATCTAAATTTGTAACAGTTTTTAGATTAACAAATTAGTAACCTTAATAAGCTCCATATATTTGAGTACAGCATCTTTTTCTTGAGGGAAGAGATTGATCAAATTTTGGACATACTCTTTCTTACCAGCCTTCATTTTGAACAATTTAGCATTGGCTGGATCTCCCATAGCAACCTAGAAATGGTTACAAGCTGTAAAATTTACTTAATAAGCAAGAAAAAAATCTTAAATTTACAAATTCCTTCAAAGCATTGAGGAAATAACAAGTTAAATTATTTAAAAGGGATGAAGTGAAATAAAAAATGATGGGATGAAATCAAATTCTTTAACCATTAGAATGTTGAATAAACATGACTCAAAAAGTCATGATCTTGTTTCAAAGAGACAGTTTTCTAGCTAAAAAAAAAGAAAATCAAACCTGATCAAACTCATTATCCATCGGAGCCCATCTTAATTGACCACCTGTTAACTGGTCAAGCAAAACACGATCAACTGATCCATCGTGCATATTTCCAATGTAGTGAATACCTGTTTTATACAAGGGCTAAGTGCAACAAAATTGGTATAAACATTACAAGTCATCAAATTTTTATGCTCAATTAGAAATAATCACATGGCTAGCATACTGACTAGCTAATGATTTTTTCCACTCATTTAAATTTAAGTCAGGTAATTTTAAGAAATGAGTCGATTTAGAGACATTAAAACTTAGAACAAAAGGAAAATTTGAGTTCCAAATCTCCAGTTCTTTAAGCTTAGTAATGTTGACCTTGCTTGTAAAGAATAAAGTCTATAGTTTTAAAATAGTACAACTTCTGTTGATAACAAGTATTTGTGTATGTAGTTAGAAATAATAAAATGACAACATATTCTCTGGAATACATAATATTTAATATAATAATTGTAGGTCTATTTTCACACTTAATTTTTTTTAAATTTAACACAAAAGTTAAGCAAATAAATCCAAATCAGAACTGTGATTTAAAAAAAAATATTCTACCTGTGTCAAATTCAAATCCTTTATCTACAAAGGAGTGGCAGCAGCCTCCAGCCTGGTCATGTTGCTCTAGTACTAAAACTTTGCATCCTGCTTGACTCAGTAAGACACCTGCTGATAGGTCACCCACTCCACTGCCAATGATGATGGCATCCAAGTTTTGTGGCACTAGGGATGCCTTAAATCCTATAAAATGTATAAGACAAAAAGTGTATGTAATATGTTTGTATCCATCAACAATGAAAATGAAGAATATGTCCTAAACAATGCAATTGGTGAGACAGCGTACTACTATTCCTGGTCAGCACTTAATCAGATAATGTCAGGAGCACAAGAAACTACAGAGCCTAAAGAAATGACCTGCACACGAGTACAAGACAGACGACGGACCTGTTCAACCCTAACCTTAACCTAGCGCCCCATGTGCTTTACCCCGTGACGGATAGAACTTGGACCACGCACACCCCCTTACGAACGGTTTTGAACAACGACTACACAAGGATTAATAAGTAAAGTAAATCCAAGTTATCGAACAGCTAAATGTATGGTATGAATCTAAGTCGTCGTAAATATCGACGTGAGGCAATTTTTCAATTCTGATGGTGCAGAAGGAAGTCGTTGTCATAACATGGTATAATGAGAGCTGCTCCATTATAGCCATAGGGTGAAGAATATGTTAGTTGCTATTGGAGGATGAATAATTATGGCTATGTACAGTCTACAGTCACAGGCAGAGAGCTGCTCCTGCACTACAGATATGTGACACGCAATACAACACACATGTCTTTTCTTTGTGTGTAGTAGATCTCTTTCTATTTTAATGCTAGTCGTGTGTAGTTAATGATTTAGTAATGTAGTTGGTATTTTGTTGATAATTATAATAATGTAGTTACTATTATTATTATGTAGTGTGTCGTGGACAAATAACCAGCATATCAAAATTTGGTGGGTTTTTCTTTAAAAGAGGAAGGTTATTTGTCCGACGGGCACAAAAACGCTTAGCTGGCATATGTTTAAGACGACATGTCCGCTCATTTTTTCTCAGAATCTGACGTCATCTTCGTGAATGCTACGCACTGATGCCCAGCTTAAATGCAGCGGTCAAACGACCAGTACATCATGAACGTGAACATATGAAACACATCGTCAAGGACACGTCCGCAGGATCACGTCAAGTAACACATCTAGAGGAACCAAATCAATGTGAGATGCGTCATCCTAACCAGATTACTGAAGCCTTACGCATGGTCGCGGTCAATTTCCGACCAAGTCGTAACGGCAAGAAGGGTCACCATAACCAGCTAACAAAAGCCTTACGCATGGTCGCGGTCAATTTCCGACCAAGTCGTAACGGCAAGAAGGGTCACCATAACCAGCTAACAAAAGCCTTACGCACGGTCGCGGTCAATTTTCGATCAAGTCGTAACGGCAACTTCAGCTTATAAATATTTGTTTTTCGGTCACAGTGTTGCCAAGTTTTGTGTTTATAAAGCTTAAGGGAACATTTAGACGTCAAGTATAACAGGGAAAACTGTCTACACAGATGATAAACGTTTGTGGAACTGTCTCTACCGAAGATAAAGATTCATTGAGTGACGTACATTTTGTTAATTTGTCTACACAGATGATAAACTTTTGTGGAACAGTCTTTACCGAAGATAAAGATTCATTGACTGACGTATATTTTGTAAATTTGTCAATACAGATGATAAAGTTCTCTACTGGAAGTTCAAGATGCGGCATGACATTGTTGTCGTTTGTTTTTTGAAAATGTGAATGCTGGAATTGTTGTTATTGAAATGTTAATATAATTCAGTCATTGATGACGCTATGACTATGTATTTATACGATGATTGACTAAGAAGACAGAAAAAAAAAAACTAATAGTATTAGTTTTTTTTAATTGTAGGGGGGGAGGAGATGTCATAGCGTAGATATAAAGAATTAGACGACTAGTAGAGGTTACAAAGGACGGTGCGAACTTGACTGTAGACGATTTGGTGCGGGAGTATTGTGCGCATGTTGAATACAATATTTGTGGCGCGAATGTGACGTGAGCATGACGCGACAATGTACCAATGACGTAGACCGCGGCAGTAACGTGAGTTGGGGGTTAGTAATTGTAGGAGACGGAGGTATTCTTTGATATTGTGCAAATAAGTGTGTATTAATAAAGTTAGTGTTCTTTTCATAAACGAAGTGGTTGACTTTTGCTAATTAGTGTCTGCGGAACATAAGAGTGATTCCCGTCCTACTCACAAGTATAATAGTTGTCGTATGAATAGTAGCAGATCAGAATATAGAAAAGATTTAGAGAAGATATAATTATATAATATATATGAAACCCCCCATCACAACCCCCTCCCAGGAAACAAAGCATATATATATATATGTATATATATATATATATATATATATATATATATATATATATATATATATATATATATATATATATATATATATATATATATATATATATATATATATATATATATATATATATATGTATATATATATATATATATATATATGTATATATATATATATATGTATATATATATATATATGTATATATATGTATATATATATATATATATATATATATATATATATATATATATATATATATATATATGTATATATATATATATATATATATGTATATATATATATATATATATATATATATATATATATATATATATATATATATATATATGTGTGTGTGTGTGTGCGTGTGTGTGTGTGTGTGTCGGCCTACATATGCCTAAAATTTGTATATATGCCACATACTGGTACACGTACGTGTTTAATTAAGCTTTAATCACTGCTGACTTAATAGTAACGATGTTTATCTACAGTCTGTTTATAATACAGTTGAATGTAGCATTGTTTTTTTTATAGTTTACGTTTACGTCGTGGTGTAACACCCCCCCCCCTCTTGATATAATTTTCGATTTGTACTTAGAAGGCTATTTAACTTTAACTAATGGATCTGGAAAATGGCATTTCATTCTATAAATTTTACAATTTTTTGCCTTTGGTGTCACCCCCCCTAAATGGTGTCACCCGTTGCGGTCCGCACCCCCCGCCTCGACTTCGCTACGCCTCTGCGTTAGGCACAGAGGAGTTAAACGAAGATATCAACTTCTACTTACGATGGATATTTTTTAATATATAAATATTCTGAAGGCAACATTTTGTATTTTATATGTCCTGATTTTGTATTTATACTATATTATTATGCTTGCCTACTACTGCTAAAAAGTTTATTTATAGGCTGATTCTCTCAATGTCTTGCACGACAAAGTGATATAGCCTGTAGTGTTATTATAACGATTGGGCTCTGTTTGACCCACAAACACTGAATCCCACTGCCGAAACGGTGGGGGGGGGGGCTTTTTTGGAACTTTTAACCTTTTTCTTTTTTTAAATTATTTATATGTAACAAATATTAAAATTCCATTGTAAAAGTTTTAATTTTTTATAAGGGAAAAGGGTCCCTATGTGCCTTGGGCCCCCATGCCTTGCTTACGCTAGCTTTACGGTAGCTACGCCACTGTGTCAGTGGTCCTTTTGTCTGGAGCCAAATTGACAGGAGCCTTTTTGTCGGGAGCCAAATTGACGCTAGCCTATTTGTCGGGAGTCGTAATGACGGGGGCCGTTTTGTGTAGAAACTAAATGGCGGGAGCCTATTTGTCGGGAGTCGTAATGACGGGGGGCCGTTTTGTGGAAAAAACTAAATGACGGGAGACTATATGTCGGGAGCCAAAATGACGGGAGCCTATTTGTCAGGAGCCTTATTGACTGGAGCCCTTTTGTCGGGAGCCTATATAACGGGAGCCTATTTGTCGGTAGCCTAAATGACGGGAGCCTATTTGTCGGGAGCCTATATGACGGGGTCCATATGTCGCTGGCCCTTTTGACGGGGCCGATTTGACGGGGTCGTTTTGTCGGGGGTCGTTTTGACGGGGCCGTTTCGTCATTGGCCGAATTGACGCCGCACGATTTAAAATATATGTGCACATGTTTAGTAGTAAAAGGCAGAGTTTCTTCCAGGCCCGAAGAAAGTCTACCGCTCTCCCCCCCCCCCCCCCCGAACGACATGGAATTTATATATGAAACATATACTTTTACTAGTGTCCGCCACCGGAAAATATCAAGTCCCCCCCCCCCCCCCGGAGAAAAAAGTCTGGAAGAAACACTGGTAGCTTTTTAAAATGTTAACGTTTCTCATATCTTAAATAGTTTTTGAGATACATCATGGGACATATAGAGTCCATGTCCCTATGGCCGTCAAGGGAATGTTATAGAAAATAACTTGCGTTATGAGTTATATCAGTATGTTTCTTCCAATAGTGATCAAACGTTTGTTTATTGTTCTGGTACATTAGAAATTGAAAATATCAGTAATGAGAACACATGTATGTCATCTATGAATAAAGCTTTTGGAAGCAGTTACGTTATGTTATGTAGCATACGCAAACATGGCAGACATCACACATATTTTCCGTTCTGTTCTCAATCTTTTCTGTTACACATTGTGCATAACCCCTGCGTTTTTCTTCATTTGATTCATCAACTTGTGTTCAGGTTGTGGGGTTGAAGTGAACTTCTTGCCTCTACCACCATGTCCTTGATGTGATCTTTGTTTCCTTTTTTATCCCTAAATGAGAGCCCTTGCTATCATTGCCTTTTTCAAGCTTGGTTTTGCATTGTAGCCTAGCCAGGATTGAATTCTTGTCATGTATGCGTATAAATGCCTTTTTGACTTCAAATCTGTATCTTGGCATCACATTAGCAGTGTATGAAACATGGAGATCAGGTTCAATGGACCAGTAGTCTTCAAGATTAGAAGTAAATGGTATCCCATCACACGTTTCATTTTCAAAAATGTACAGATGTCTTGCGAATAAGTTTGATAAGGAATACCTTACAGTGGCATGTACAGTTTACTATGATCGATAATCAGAGCTACCAAGTACTCAAAAAAAAAAAACATTGGGATCTTCATCACAATCAACATCTATTGAAAATTTCCCATAACCATAGTCAATAACTTGTATTTGAAAGTCTGTTTTCAGCAGCCTCTAGTTGAAAACAATATCTCGCTCCAGTCTCCTTTTTCAAATCTAACGATGACATTTGATTTTTCATTTGGCAGGTCGTGTTCTATTAATGAT